CACAGGCGGCCAGACCATTGCCCCATCGGACCACCAGAGCCCCGAAGAAACTTCCGGTAACAACGGCCGGGACGAGACACCTATTCCTCCTCCATAGATTATGGAGGAATTGTGTTTCTTTGCATTCCTGTGCTTCCGTTTGGTTTTGGTCCAATTTTGGGAGGCATGATATCACTGTAGCCTCTCTTCTTTTTGTATTTATCCATTGCATCCCCGGTTTCTTCTCCTCTCCCACGTCCTCTTATATGTCGACCCTCGACTACAAACCCTTTCTCCCATTCCTCCCGTTGTACTCAATAAGAAGATCGTCTTTTTTTTTATTTTCTCTCTCGTTTGTTACCCCTGTCCATATCCGTGTCTAACTGGATATGTACAACTTGAACTGAGTGTATAATATGGAGTTATTTGGAAACATGTCTTAGATTGGGATGTCTTTTACGTGTAGATACTGTTGAACCATTATCGTAAAACTCACCGAATAACGTTGCATTAGACATATTGGCTATTAAGTTATCTAATCCTCCATTGTTAGCAATGCCATACCCAACACGTGTGTATGTCTTGCACTTTATACGCTTTATGTCCTCAATTATTCCCTTTGGGTATGCTCTAGAAGCATTCCATGCACGGGACGGCATAGCAGTTCTAGAAAGGATATACGATAGAGATGTTCCCATGAAGATGCGTTCAGTCAAGGGCCTACGCTATCATAGATATCATGTATGACAAGTGCGCATCGCTGAAAGAATACATAGAGAAGATGGCGTTGTGCAGCCGAACATTCCAATGTAACCACGGAGAGAAAGACAGTGGCGACGGGGGAAAAGACAATGGCCGTGGGAAGAACCACATCCACTTGAGAGGATCAGACTATCGAATGGCTATGATGCCAGTTCATCTTGGTCCGGAGTCGGAGTCTTGGTTCTCTGGGCGGTGGGAAAATTCGATAAAGAGAGAATGAATGCTGCAGTAAGACTTTCAGAGGACTATTCTCGAGCATCGAAGCAGAACAGGCCTGTCGCATGCAAGCTGCTCGCTACACGAAGAATTGTGCTGCATAAACATGTCTTGAAGAAGTCCCAAAATATATCTTATATTTCCAATTTGTTGCAATGAGTGATTAGTGCCTGAACATATTGATTGAAAATAGTTTGCATTGTGTCAAAATCGATAGTTTGAGGTAAGACGCCGAGTGCAGAAAATCACAGCAAAAACATGTCAATCAATCTGGTATAGATTCTCCAATTCCCTGGTTATATATCAACCAACACATTAAGTGCTTTTCTTGCTAGCCTTCTTGGTCTTCTTTGCCTTGACAGACAAGCGAGGGATAAACCTGCCAACGCGGGCCTGGTAGTCGCTGTACTCGGGATACTTTCCAGCGGTGATCTTTTCGGTTAGACGTACACTTCCCTGGAAGATAGCAAGATATCCCAAAGCGCCCAGACCGGTCCAGTTGAAGTAAGTCTCGGTGCGGTAGCAGGACCACAAATACATGGTCAACCAAACGGCCTGCTCAGCAACAAAGTTGGGGTGTCGTGACCAAGACCATAGGCCGCTGACAACAAAGCCCCGCTCAAGATCTTCAGCGGAGAACTGGTCCTTGTAAGGCTCGGGAATACGCGCGTTGGTTTGGTATTCCTTCTTGGCAGACTGGAACTTCCACTGCTGCCCGTCGGCGAAGAATTCAATGATGATGAAGAAAAACGCAGCACGGGAGAATGCCAAGTCAGCAAGGCCAAAGGTCTCGGGTCCCTGGTTGTATGCGGCGACAACAAAAATGTAGGTCGGAGCGGTGATGAGAAGGAGCAGCAGTGACTGAGCCACAGCAATGAATCCGAGGTTGAAGATCATGAAGACAAAGTTATTGTTCACTTTAGAGCGCACGATCTGCCAGCGGTAATCCTCCGATCCAATTGAATATCCTCCTTTGCGCCAGTAGTTGAAAGTCAAGCGAGCCTATCCCGTCAGTCAGTCAGTCAGTAGATGTAAAGACTCGGAAGAATAGCCAACTTACACCCCAGATAACACTAACGACGGCGATTGTATCCACAGTTTGTGTCTGGATGCCGGACAAACGAGCCCAGAGGGCAAAATGCACGTTATACAGCGCGGGGAGAATGCTCCAAAACCGGTCTACTTGAGAATAGTTCCGGTTGATCTCGGCTGCGATGAAGAAAAGACCAGCCAGAGTTCCACAGAAGGCAAGCGCAGAGACCAGAGGGTTGGTAGCTAGATAGACAGCTCGCAAGCTATACACATCGTAACCAGCTTCGCGCAAGCTTCCGGGTAGCCATTGCAGCTGGGTCAAGTAGGGGAGAACGGTGAGATGAAACGAAGTATAATCCAAAAGGGAGTCCACACGGGGAAGTGGTAAAGATGCCATTATCGTACTATATATGGGAACAAAATGCCGCAGAGGAGAAAGGGAAACAGAAGCGTTTGCTCAGGTGGAGTTGGACGGGTAAGTGGCCAATAATTGCCCCGATTAGGAATAGCGTCCCTAAAATGGATTGTATGCCTCAGGCACCAAAGCGCGTCTCAGGCATCTCGTCTCTTCTCATCCAGAACAAGATGTGATCGACGTCAGGACACTAAGACCACCATCACTATGAACCCCATGTGATCTAGATTGGAGCTCGCCATGGCTCGCAAAATCCTATGTGTGGCTGAGAAACCTGCCATTGCTCGCGCAGTGGCCACTCACTTATCGGGAGGTGCTTTTCAAACAGTGGGTTTCCTTTTAAAGATTTCTGGTAGATTTAGCTAACATCGAGCATAGCATGCGATTCGCGGGAATAAATACGTGAAGAATTATGAATTTGATTTTGATTTTGGCGGTGCCTGGGGCAACTGCTCGGTCACTATGACCAGCGTAGTCGGCCATCTGACTGGCTTGGACTTTGACCGTCAGTACAAGGGCTGGATGTCCTGTCCTCCAGGGTCACTCTTCGAGGCCCCCGTGGAAGAGACTGTTGATAAGGTGAGCAAATTCCAGCAGCTGTCCTGACTGCATGCTGATATCCTCACTAGGACAAGCTACCAATTGCGGATAACATCCGGAATCAAGCTAAATACTCTAAAGCCCTGTTTATTTGGACGGATTGTGATCGCGAAGGTGAGCATATCGGTTCTGAGGTCCGTAACCAGGCAAAGGCAGGAAATGCCCGGATCGAGGTTAAGCGAGCCAAGTTCAGCAACATAGAAAGAGCGTAAGTAATGTTGATTTTGGTGTCTACTCAAACTGATCCGAGGATAGACATGTTCGTCGGGCTGCTCTAGAACCAGTCAACCTCGACGAATATCAGGCCAGTGCTGTATCTGCCAGGATCGAACTGGATCTTCGAATCGGCGCTGCATTCACCCGCCTACAGACTCTACAACTACAAACAGTGGTGGCAGCCTTGAAGGAAAAGGTCATTAGCTATGGTAAGCCGTCGGTCGTCATAGATATAAGCAAGTGAATTAACAAGTTAGGATCCTGCCAATTTCCTACTTTGGGGTTCGTTGTCGATCGATACTTGAGAGTCCAGAATTTCAAACCAGAAGTATTTTGGGGCCTCAAGGTCATACTCAGCCGGGAAAGCAAAAAGGTCAACTTTCTCTGGAAGCGGGTACATTTATTTGACCGAGCAGTTGTGACGATGATGTTAGAGCGATGTTTGGTTGCAAAGCAAGCCAAAGTCACAAAAGTGAACCAGAAGCCTACAAGCAAATGGCGACCGTTGCCCTTGACTACGGTAGACCTGCAAATGATGGGCAGTCGATTTCTTCGTTTGGACAGTCAGACTATCATGAAGGTAGGAAACCCATTTTCATAGTGGATGATATCTAACACGTTCAAAGGTAGCAGAAGGACTTTACACCAAGGGATTCATCAGCTATCCCAGAACCGAGACGGACCAGTTTGACAAAGCGATCGATCTGAAGAAATTGGTCGAAAAGCAATACCCCGACGAGTCATGGGGCCAATACGCTCGAGAGTAAGCTTATTGGACTTGCGTTTCATATACAAGACTAATGCCTATCTAGACTTATTGATGGCAAGTTCAGGACTCCTCGCTCTGGCCGCCACAATGACAAAGCCCATCCACCTATTCATCCTGTCACCTGGGTTTCACCAAACCAGTTGAATGCCAATGAAAAGAAGGTTTATGAATTTGTTGCCCGTCGATTCCTCGCCTGCTGTTCTGATGACGCGAAGGGCCAGAGCACAGAAATTGAAATTCAATATGGCGACGAATTCTTCCACACCAATGGCCTTACCGTGTTGGAGAGAAACTACTTGGATGTATACGTCTACGATAAGTGGGAAAGCAGCCAGCAGCTTCCCAACTTTGAACTGGGGGAGCTCTTTGAGCCCACAGAAGCCAATATCTTCGAAGGCAAAACAACTGCTCCAAACTATCTGACTGAGCCCGAGCTCATTGGCCTGATGGATGCCAACGGGATTGGTACAGATGCCACGATGGCGGAGCATATTGCCAAGATCAAAGAACGTGAATACGTCGCCATAAATCAACGGGGCAGTGGGCGTAGCTCAGTGCAGGAATTCATTCCGACCCGTTTAGGTGTTGCCCTTGTGGAGGGGTATGACAACGTTGTTGAGGGTCTCCCTAATAGTGTGTCTCTCAGCAAGCCGTTCCTTCGCAAGGAAATGGAATTGAGAATGCTTGAGATCTGCTCAGGCACTAAAACCCGACAGGAGGTCGTCCAGCAGAGTCTGGACATGTATCGAGAGGTCTTCATTCATACACAGAGGCGCATCAACATGCTGAAGACTGCCTGTCGCAAGTATCTTGGTGAAGAAACCGCGTCATGATTGTCAGTCGCTTACAAATACGAAAGGCATAGTCAACTAATATAGAATCATAACGAAATATCCAACTGATTAAACTTTTCTATCCCAAGCACTTGACATCAACTAAATCATACACCCAAAAAAAGAGAAGCAAATAAAATCCCCTGTTATACAGATACGAAATAGATCTTCACATGTCCTAAGTCAGCCCCAATCCTGACCATTGCACTGAACTAGTCCTCTTTTTTCCATTCTGAAGAACGGGACTCCCCTCAAAGTTGGAAATCCCGTTGGGTTGCCCTGCGGCGTGGTGAGCTCCATTGATCTGCTCGATGCTAGGACTCTTGCTTAAATCCAAATCAGGCTGGTCCATGTGTACACCTTCAGGCAGGTCGTTGGACATGTTCTTCGCCATCAGGATGTTAAGCCAAGCTAATTGTCTCGGAATCTGAGGGAAATTTTCAGTATTTCTCATCAGATCATGGTGTTGTTGACTGACCTCATCCAACTTGGATTCAATGGTAATCATCCCCGAGGTGTATTTGTCTTCCATCATCCCAACAATATGTAACAAACAATGTTGGAGGTCGGCCGAGGAGTTTGTGATGGCCTCCGCCAGATGAACGAAAACAGGCCGTACTTGTTCATTTTCCCTTCGGAACTGTCGAATCTCTATCATCAGAGTGTCGAATTGCACTTGCACGCCGCTCATTCGGTCAAAATAATCGTATTGCAGGTCCTCGACGTGCTGCTTGATGTTATTCGTCATCCCAAAGCCCATTATCTGCACTGTGAGGATAACCAAGACGAGAGTAGCCATCACGGCGAAATATAGCGTGTTATTCTGGGCTGGGTGGAACTGTTGCAGCTCATCGTAGCTATGCTCATTTGCCCAGACATCGTTCAAATAGACCGACGTCGGCATCGCTGTGGCACTCGGGAGTAAAATTGTTGCTGTAACTCCGGGGGTGTTGACATGGAGTGATACAGCTTCAGCTGAGTGTTCCAGGGCCAGCCTGGCATTTTCGTACTGTTGGGCATCGAGTGAAAGTTGTAGAAGGAGGTCGTGTTCTGAGATTGCGTCGTCATGGGGGAAGACCAAAGGATGGACTTTGCGTAACTCGTGAATGGAACACGCAATTTCTAGGGAGCTAAGACTGCGCCAAAAGAAAGAGTTAGAAGGAGTGACTCCGGTCAACGGAACAGAATGCCAAATGCCAATGCTGCTGAGGCCGGCAAAAATGGCTCCCAGCACCAGTTGGTCGAACATATTTGTGATTTCTATATCAGATCAATAGGGTAGGGTTCAAGAGACTCAAGGGAATCTCCATGTTTCTCGGTCTCTTGGGAAGTAATATACCATGAAGAAGGCAAAAATGCAACAATGAATACGCAGCTCTTTGTTCTATTCACGCTTAATGACCAGTGTTTGCCAGGAATTCAAACTTGAATGAACATTCAGTAACTGTTTGGGAGTCACGATATGTCTAGCTTGATCGTTTCTTTGTTTGTCCGTTTGTATATTTAGCCGTCTTTTGAATACATTCCACTTATATCTCATTTTAATCTCACCGTAGGTATAGGTCACATCAAATTATCATTAGATATTCAATAGTATTTAGCTGAACCTCATATTTTCTAAAAAAATCAAATCTTTGTCTGACCACAATGAACTTAAAGAAAATCACCCACTAATACCAGCACAAAGAGAATCTGAAAAGTGCTAGACATGTTTCAAATTACTTTTTCCAGTAATAGGCTCTGAATCTCTTTGGTCGTACTGAAATGAGTAGGTATATTCAAGGTATAGGGAGAAGTTTACAGCGAACAACAAAAGCTTTATTATCACACTGGTTTCTATGTATACGAATATGATCTGTATAAGTGGCAATCTTGATTCTCTATTCAACCAGTATAAGTCGATATTCATACCATAGAATACTTATCAAATCAAGCCGACAATAAAAGTATGAGTGAATCTTTCAATGACAATTCTTACGCAGTTAGCCATATTGATCATCTGCATATTTAGCATGAAACCTGTTTGATGTATGCAAAGAGCCGTTTTCGCACTCATCCCACAGGTTCTTTTAAACTTGACTGTTTTATCACTGGTGTCTAAGATAAATATTGTAGGGTAATACGTCGTATGTAGGTGTCGCACATAGAATTGAAAGATACGGTCTAGAGAAATAGATATTAATGGCAAATAGCAGTCAAATTATTACTCTAAACAAAATGATAAAACATGCATTCGCCAATTCATGGCTCAAGGGCAGCTAACATTGCGAGTATCTGCCGTCAATTGAGAAATTGGAATTTGCCATAAACATAGTTGCAAGACTCGGTAGAGGGTGGGTACCAATTGACAGAAAGAGAAATGGGCGTAGGATTGTTCAGCAAAATCCCGGGCAGATGATCAGTAACGTCACGGAAAAAATGTCGAGATTCATCCCTTCCTGTTCACTCAGGAACGTATGCGGTATAGCCGTTTGTTACGATGGCCCATGAAACTGGAGAACCAGGTTGCCTCGCCGTGGGTAATGCGGCAAGTTTGGTCATACACCAATCTGGTGGTACGAAGATCCCAGTACTCAGAATCCTCGTCTGGGTGTTTCTGCATGCAATCTAGACATAGGCCATGAAAGTAACCATCGACCAGTCTTCGTGCGTACTCCACCGTGCGTTTCCAGGAGAAGGGGCATACCACGCATCTCTGCACCGATGGCTTCCTCTTTGCCATATTGTCTTCATTGAAGTTTGCCAGTCGATTGAGAATATCACTGACACAATTCTTGTATATGTCACTATCCAGCGGCTTGACCCTGATGTGATGTAATTCTCTAAAGTAGGCAAACATGCTTTCTGCTGCACAGCCACAATGAGCTTTATCGAGAGTCATGTTCAAATCTCCAAAAAGCGATCTTTGGAGAACCGTTCGGAGACGCCCTCTAGCTGCGTTTAATTGCTCTTTCTGCGAGTTAGCGTCCTTTGATCTTAAAACTGTGACTGGATCAACTTACGTATGACGATGGCGGGCATATGCATCGGCTCGAATGATGGTGAGTCTGTCGGGGCCATTTCTGTGATATGGCCTGGGGCGTTGTAGACGAGTCTTCTTGTGATATGCTGGAAAGCCTCTGCATGATCAAAGAAATGGCAAGGTAACAGTAGCTGGCGGTTGAAATCATAGTCTTCCCATATTTCAGGTTGTTTCTCGTCAATATGTTTGATCCAGCGTGCAAACCAGCCCATCAGCTTCTTAGGATCCAGCAGGTACTTGTTGCAGGTCTTGATTGTGTACCAGACATCCGCAACAGTGACAAACTCTGGCTCGATCTCGACTCCATGAATCGACCCGAATATCACCTCCATGCCTTTGATCGTGTCGCCTCTGAGAGTGGGCTTGTGATTCCCGGATGTTTCCCACCGACATGAGAACATTCTCTGAAAGTAATCACTGCTCTCAATCAATTTGGAACGATCAACGTGAAATAAGGCTGTCTTGGTTTGGTGGTCGTCGTTCTCGCTCTCTTCGATGATGATGAGCGTCACATCACTCGGGCTTGCGAACAAGAAGCCCATGTTGGCTGGGAAAGTTGGGGGGCAACAAGAGTAGAGTCAAGCTGTTTGAAGATGGAGTCTCAAAAAGAAGAAAAGAAAACAGATGGAGGATGAAGCAGAAGGAGAAGGAGAAGGGGAAGGGGAAAGAGAAAGAGAAAGAGAAAGAGAGGATGTGGAAAGGGAAAGATTGTAGTCGGCAAGGAAGGAGCTGCGCAGAACATTTCAACTCTTCTCCTCAATGTTTCCCTCTTCATCCTCCCTCCCATCAGAAAAGAATTCTGAGATTGAAGCAGACTTCAAAATGCATCCCCCTAATCTCTTACTGGATAGTTATAACTATCCACTCTCTTTGCAAAGCTGCAATATGTACAGAGAGCACCTCTTCAAGACCGAGGCCCTGGAGCTGAAGCTCCCACCGTACACGACCGTAAGTCTCTACGAAGGAGAATCAACTTCGGAAAATGTTTCTAATTGCGTGAATAGAACTCTATTGGTCAAATCGTTGTGTGCCATGGCAAGGTCTTTCATTATTGTGTACCGAGCTGTGGACATGTGAGTGGTCTTCAATACTGAGGCTCCCCTAGGTGGCTATTAATTAAATGCAGGCTTCTACCTCTACAATCGCCAGTCTTCAACACACTATGAGACATGGTCTTCAAGTCGCAACGAATGGCTCACGACAATTGACTCAGGTCCAGGAAGATGCTGCTGTTCCGTGGTACAACTCCGCGCAGGAGGCTGAAGAGGACGATCATGATGAGGACGACAATGAGGATGACGAGGAGCCCAATTATGAGGACGATGATGATGAGGACTATGATGACAATGACGAGGAGGATGATGAGGACTATGATTAGGACTATGATGAGAAGCCTATGGCTCAGTAAAGTCCGGCTCAGCCTATTTTTACGTCTTTGTTGAGAATTGCCGCATATTCTTTGAGCTCCCGGGGTTTTACCATCAATGAAGTGGAATTATCATTTAATATCACGGCTATTGTGTCGACAGTACGAGCTGGAGATTCACTAGTACTTCCTATAATGGAAAAGTGTGTCTTCTACTTCATCTGGACTCTGTAGGATTGACATGTTTCATTTATCTTAGACATCATCTAGTGCGAAAACGGCTTTTCGCATCTTCATACTAAAAATTCAGATGATCGGAATAAGCTCAATATGCCACCGGGGCATAAAACTCTGGTTGGATAGTGCTCTTGAACCTTACGCTTTCCTTTTCATTCTAGCGCATTTTTCAACTCCATAAGCGACACCCTACGCGCCCTATATCACCTTATAATGCTTATCTATCGATATAATCCCGGCTACAATATCTGATTTATGACATTATGTCTATTTTTGGTATCTTTTGTGCTGCTTTTTGGAGGAGTTTGCTACTACCTACCTTTGGGAAATATCTAGTAAGACATAATTAGAATATAATTGTACAACACTCCGATGTAGTGTAGGGGTTATCACTGTGCTCTTTCACAGCACTAACGGGGGTTCGAATCCCCCCATCGGAGAACTTCTTTTTTTTCATGCCTTTTTTTTTGTATCTAATTTTTCTTCTGCGCGCCTGAGGATCGTTATTCTTATGCAAATAACTGATAAGTGACACGAGGTCTTCATACCCATTACGCGCACGCTGTCCCTCCTTTCTGGATTTTGACATTGTAGTAAATTATAGGATTTTTCACCGGAATACCTAGGGTGATATCAATAAAAGCTGGAATAACTATACCTCGATCTCTGAAATTTGTATAACATTCCGATGTAGTGTAGGGGTTATCACTGTGCTCTTTCAAGTTCCTCTTCGGGACAATGAACAGCACTAACGGGGGTTCGAATCCCCCCATCGGAGTTTCTTTTTTTTTTCTATTTGCTTCATTCACTTTATGATATAGTTAGTGGCAATGATATAACTAACTAGTCAGTTTCATAATAAATCCCGTTCTTTTCTCTCCTCTCTACATATAGATCTTGAGAATGTTCCCTTCCATCAACCAACTTCAATAGCGTCATGTGAGAAGCTGGGTATGACTAGGTACTCATGAAATTGGCTAGAAAGTATCCTAATATTGCTCGTTTTTCGCATCGGCAGCAGGAATCCTTCCTCTGTATCGATATAACGTTGATGCTACCTATTCACATACCTACCCTACCTATGTCTTTGAAAGTATTCAGCCTAGAGACTTATTCAACTCAGCCCTGAAGGAACTTATCATGACAGGAAATGATGGACATAGTACATGTAGTCATCCTTGAAGCTCTAGTTATATATCTCTACGCATGAGCCTGTCCAAGGCCTTGTTCATTCCATGTTCAATGGCTGGTGAATCTCCAGCCACATAACCGCCCGGGGAGATTTGTCTACTCATGGAGGAGGCACTTTATTTGGGCTCCATTGGAGCACATAAATACTTGGCTTGTATATTGATGGCAAATTCCTGGTCGGATTTGGCCATCTGCGCTTTGAATCTGCAGGACAGTGTACCCTTGAATATAACTTCTTAGAGATTTCCGGGTAAAATCGGTTAACAAGGGTAGTTAAGCTAAATGACATTACCAACAGGCAAAGATACATTTTTAAAGCCACCGGATTATAGGGTTGTCACCAGGTACCTTACTAGAACACGGGGGATCAGCCTGCGCTCTTTCCGTTCGGTAAAATTATATCCCTTCCAGTAATCACTTGCAGAGGTCATATTGCACCCTTGTTTACAAGCTACCGTTTAGAATTGTGAACTGGCGAAACAGGCTGAAACAACGGCTTTGCCGTACTTCTAAATCAAAACTTAGTGGATCCGGCAATGCGATACACAGTAATAGCCAAGACTTAATATGTGTCCTTCTACTTATGTACCTCTTTACTTCCGATGCTTCGAGTTGGGCAATTAGTCCAATGTGATATACCATCAGACCATCGCGCTGTGGATCTATTGTGCATAACTAGAGCCTATCTTATTCCGGACTAGAAATGCCCAAGGAAACTTGAAAGTGGTCATGATTTATGCAGAGATTTATTTAGAGCCTCGGTTTGAGATTCATGTGTTTACAAAGAGACGACGAGTTGAGGACTCTCTAGAGAATCATTGAAAGAAAGCAGCTATATCAAAAAATAGAGCAGACGTTATGAACCTGGAGGATAATAACAGTCCAGTATCAAATAATTACTCCGGACAGCTGGTACTGCAAGGGTATATAATCTAGTTTCGGACTGAAACGCTTCATATCCGAAGGGTCTGCAGGCCATCCTCCGTGTTTGGGCCTAACGCCTTCGTCTATATTACCCCACATTATCTGCCACCAAAGAGAGCCTTTTCAAGGTTTGATGTAAGTAGCGCTCATTCCATCTAAAAGCGCTCTTGGCATGCTTTAACGCCCTTCAACGCCACCAACTGTCCCATGGCCTTTTGTTCTGTGCGGAGTGGAGCATATTTGAATCCTATGGCCAAATTCCCTGTCTGGTATCCTCGCCCTGATGTATACGAAAGATCGATAGGAAAAATACCTCAAAAGGTCTCTATTTGCAGTTGATCCTTGTGTTGATCCTTGTACTGTTAAGCTCCCCGAATCTTCCACAGCAATCGACAGAACTGGATGATCGGGGCATACTCCGTCTTCACGGGTGTTGAAACGATTAACATGCATGTTTATCTACTCCGATATTAGTCAGGATTTTGAGACATCCTATAACAAAGCGTCACCCAGTGATGATCATTCCCTTCCTGATTCAGGCGCCGGTTCCAGTCCCAAATTAACGTACCTACAACGCCGGAGGTCACCTAGTATGGAATTTGACCCTGCATTGATAATTGTGGGCTCTCTATCAATACCAATTTGGTAACGGCCTCACGGTCCGTCAATCGATCATGCTATGGAAAGGACTTTAGTCACGGCCCAGAGAAATCCTGCACGGAGAAAAGACATATAATGGCCGATTCCCACCCGAGATTATTTGTGTTCACTAGCAGCAGGCCAGACAACAAGACACCAAGGACACATTGCAAACCGACCTCTCTGCTTAATTGTCAATGTATCAACGCGCACTCCTTTTCTCCGTCCTGGCGGCCGCAGCCCGTGCCCAGCAAGCTGGCACATTGACGGCTGAGACCCATCCCTCTTTGACCTGGCAAAAGTGCACTACCGCGGGCAGTTGCACCGACCAGCAGGGCTCTGTTGTCATTGATGCCAACTGGCGTTGGCTTCACTCTGTCGATGGTTACACCAACTGCTACACTGGAAACGAGGTAAGAGATCCTCAACCGAGAAGGTGAGCGTTCACATTGATTGACTTGTTTGATGATAGTGGGATGCGACTCTCTGCCCCGATGACGAGACTTGCGCCACTAACTGTGCGTTGGACGGCGCTGACTACGCCGGCACATACGGTGCGACCACTGATGGCAATGCCCTCACTTTGAGCTTCGTCACTGGCGCCAACATTGGCTCTCGTCTGTACCTGATGGAGGACGAGAGTACCTACCAGATATTCAAGCTGAAGAACCAGGAGTTCACATTCGACGTGGATACTTCCGGGTTGCCCTGCGGACTCAATGGAGCTCTGTACTTTGTCTCCATGGATTCCGATGGTGGCCTGGCTAAGTACACGGGGAACAAGGCAGGTGCCAAGTACGGAACTGGCTATTGCGATTCTCAGTGCCCTCGTGATCTGAAGTTCATCAACGGCCAGGTGAGTTTTTATACTGGTCAATTCGAACGGTTTGCGGGCAAAGTGACTGATGCGCGATACAGGCCAACGTGGACGGCTGGGTGCCTTCCGAGAACGACAAGAACGCTGGTGTTGGCGGCCATGGATCTTGCTGCCCTGAGATGGATATCTGGGAAGCCAATAGCATTTCCACTGCTTACACGCCTCACCCTTGCGACAGCCCTGAACAGACTATGTGCGAGGGCGATGATTGTGGCGGAACTTACTCTTCCACCCGCTACGCAGGAACCTGCGATCCCGATGGATGTGACTTTAACTCCTTCCGCATGGGAAATGAGACCTTCTTCGGTCCCGGCATGACTGTTGACACTAAGTCCAAGATAACCGTGGTCACTCAGTTCATCACCAGCGACGGCACCGACACCGGCACCCTCAGCGAGATCAAGCGCATCTACGTCCAGGACGGAAAAGTCATCGCCAACTCAGCCTCGGATGTTAGCGGTGTCACCGGAAACTCGATCACCACCGACTTCTGCACAGCCCAGAAGAAAGCCTTCGGCGATGAGGATATCTTCGCCCAGCACGGTGGTCTGGCTACCATGGGCGAGGGGTTGGACCAGGGAATGGTCCTTGTCATGAGCCTGTGGGATGACCACTATGCTAACATGCTCTGGTTGGATGGGGAGGTCTACCCCACTGATGCATCTGCCTCCGATCCCGGTGCTGCTCGCGGCACATGCGCCACCACTTCCGGCGACCCAGCAACCGTTGAGGCCGAGTCGGGCTCGGCCAAGGTGACCTACTCTAACATCAAGGTCGGCCCCATTGGCTCCACCTACGCTTCTTCCTAGAGAGTCGAAATGACATTCACTTGCTGAATTCGGCTATACTTGGAATGGAATGCGGGGTCTCCGTGCTGCATATATCCTTGAGCCAGTGGTGGAAATACCAAATTTGGAAGAGAATGGTGAACTGTGTATAAATCTCTTTCGTTGATAGTTGTCTGTATTCTTGGTTTCATTTATCTTTCTTACAATCAGAGCTGTTTGTCAGAATCGAGGCTCATTTGAACTGAACAAGTAAGAAGGCGGTCGGGGTATTCTCGGCCCGGCAGAAAAAAACGGCCAGCTCTGAAGCTACAGCTTTTTGCGATTGATTCTCTTGATTCAATTCACTCGAATTCAAAAATTTAGTAGGCTCGCTAGAAGCCTTCGTATTTCGTGCTCACCCCCGTCGCATTTCGCAACCATGTTCGACACGGTCTGCACGCTTCCGCTTTCCTCGGACCTGTTCGCTCAGGCTATCCACCCCGAGGAGCCCGTAGTCTCTGTCGGTCTAGCCTCGGGCCACGTCCAGACCTTCCGACTGCCTTCCTTAGAAGGAGAGGGTGACGAAGATGCCGCACCGAGTTCGTTGGCCCGGACCGGAAAGGGCCACATTGACACAATGTGGAGAACTCGGCGACACAAGGGTAGCTGTCGCACCCTAGGGTTCAGTACGGATGGCAAGATGCTCTACTCGGCTGGTACAGACGGTATGGTGAAAGCTGCAATCAGTGAGACTGGTCAGGTGCAAAACAAGATTGTGATTCCTTTTGAGAAGAACGGGTAAAGGAACTCTCCCGAATATCAAACGTTGCGATCCAGACCTTTGCATTTGGCTGACCTCTCGTTTTTTTTTGATGTCGTATAGCTCCATTGATGCGCCAACCATGATTCACGCCCTCTCTCCTCAAACCCTCCTCCTCGGTACCGACTCGAGCGCTCTGCATCTCTACGATCTCCGTATCCCCTATTCTAAGGTGTCCGCGCGACCTGAACAAACGCACCACCCCCATGACGACTACATCTCCTCTCTTACTCCTCTGCCGGCTTCCGAAACTAGCACATCGGGCTTTAGCAAGCAGTGGGTTACAACCGGTGGAACAACCTTGGCCGTGACAGATCTCCGAAGGGGCGTTCTGGTGCGCAGCGAGAACCAGGAAGAAGAACTGGTCAGCTCGATCTTCATGGGTGGTCTGCCCTCCAGCGGAACCAGTAGAGGCGAGAAGTTGATTGTTGGTGGAGCCAGCGGTATCCTCACTCTCTGGGAGAAGGGCGCGTGGGATGACCAGGATGAGCGGATCTACGTCGACCGCAATGCCGATGGCGGAGATTCCATCGAGACAATGGCAGTTGGGCCTGACTACTTGGGCAAGGTTGTGGCCGCAGGCCTCTCAAACGGAAAAGTGAAATTTGTGCGCATTGGACCGAACCAAGTCGTTTCCGAGGTTGTGCACGATGAGATCGATGGTGTTGTAGGCTTGGGCTTTGACGTGGAGGGCCGGATGGTCTCTGGTGGTGGCCAAACCGTCAAGGTGTGGCACGAGGCTGAGGAAAATATTGAAGGATCTGGCGACGAAGACATGGATGATAGTGATGACGACAAGGATTCGGATAACAGCGATGCGGAACGTCGCGAGGATACAAAGGACCGAAAGAAGCGCAAGAAGTCTAAGGGCAAGGACCGCACTGGTGGACAGCATGTCATGGCGTTCCATGACTTGGACTAATGTCTCAATATCCCATTCTCTGATACCCACATCTGCAAATCGATTGTTCAGCCCGAAAACAAGAAAAAGTGTACATAGCGTTGGTGTTAGGGGTTTTAAGGGCCAATTAGAGGAAGAATATCTATATCTCCGATATGTACATACATATGTCTCCCCCTTACTTGGCTCTAGTTTATTCTGATGTCCACGGGAACGTCAACTAAGCGTTAGGGGCGTTAGGGGCTAAAAATCGCAAGAAATATCGAATCATTGATACCTTGCTCCGTGTAGCTTCTCAAATCCGATATCGACTCCCACCATACAAAACCCTCGCACAGCTGACCCCAAAGAATGCACTAGCAGCAATCATTCTTCAATCAAGTCAGACCACTCAGGAATCTCCCTGATCAGTTTCCACATGTATTTCTCCAGTTTGACCGCACACTTGGCGTACACCGTTGTGGCATCATTGTACTGCCGACAGTTACTGAAAATCAACTTGAGATCGGCGAGAAGGTCCTTCGGAGTAGTGTAATGCTCTAATCTCTCTTCGATGGTTGATAGATCCATTGGTGATAAAATGACATTGTAATAATCAGGGACTTGGTCTTTGTTGACTGGATTGCGGAAGGGCCATGCTTGTTTGTGGTTTTGGATATCGTTAATAAAACGACGAAATTCGTTGAAATGGGGTCCGCGGAAACGAGATCCGTGGCATGATTGTCGTGCTAACTCGTCCATCTCCGGAGACCAGCCAGTTGCCCGGATGGCAGGGATAGAGAGTGGATCAATGGGAACCACGCCGTTAGCCCATTGCATAGGCGGTTGATGAATGATATGATTTTTGCTCGAGGTACGTATTTTGGCTAGAACGGATTCTTTTTGTTTCAAAAGCATTCGACCAACTTCGAGATACCGTATTCGAGGAAGCATAGAGCATTGCATAAGTGTTCCGCCTTCGTAATCCTTAATACAGCCCATCCAGATAGAATTCTCGAGAGTGAGCTCTTTAGTAAAGCCTTGCTTTTGAAAATACCCAATGGCCTGATTATCGGCATAGGTCAGAAAATGCATCACCGGGGAAGTAGCTCTGACGTAGTCCTTTAAATGGGCCATAAGATGTGCTCCGTATCCTTTCACCTGCTGATCAGATGAGACTGCACAAAAAACAATTTCGGCAAACTTGCGTTCTCGGAATTCCCGAAATGATATACCGGCAATGACTTCTAGAGGTTTCTTAACGATAGCGATCGATAAATGAGCACGATCGTAGACGAGACGTGCGATGTAATCCTTGGGCATTTCCGGAAGTTGCTTTTGAAATAGGCATTTAAGACCTGTAAGGATAATCGTGCTCTCTCTAGAGCCATCATTGTTGACAACTCGTAGCTCGATCTCGCCATTTCGTTCTTCCAAAACTGCAGGCTTCAGAACAGTTAGAATGTTGATTGGCATTTCAAGGTCCTAGCATACCTTCTCAGGGAAAGGAACTATCCGGGTTATAGCTGGAGCTATAACCACCTCTGTCAGCCCATCATGAAAGCCCTTAGCTCTTTTGGTACCAGGAGAGATATCCATCTCTTCACAAGCCATGCGCTTCGCGAGAAGATTTGGCCCGCTATCGGTTTGCATCTCTATTTTGTCCATTTGCAGGATTGGTGGATGTTGGCAACGCTGAAATTGCGACAGGTAATATGCAAAATCGTCTGGGTCTCTCAATTGATTGTAGTCTTCATTCCTCAATAATGAAATTCTGAGTTAAATAGAATCTGAGGTTAGAGATCAATTCGGTGTACAGCCTGGTGGTCAATGCTCACTGGTGTCTTCGGGGTCCTTGTGTCCACTCATATAGACTTTGTTGATTTTGACCTCGGGAGATGTATTGTATGTTTGATTTTTCTATGAAAGGCACAAAGAATATCAGAAAAGGAAAATTCAATTTCATTCACTTGGGAACCATAGAAGTGCACAGATGCGAGAGGAGAAGAGTGGAGAGTGGAGAGGAAGATCTACCGGGGCTGATGGACACATTTGGACGACCCTATCACGTGAGTGGGATGCTTCAGACATATAGACAACGTTCTATTAAGAATGAGAGGCATTTGAAGATAATGAGCTCCTTAAGCGGAACTCAAGATTGAACAGCCACTACTGTAGTCCGTGTATCTGCCTCATGTGTGTGTTTTAGTTTGAGAATCTATAATAGAGACTAATAATACAGTATGAGAAGCCGAAAATTGAATATGCATTGTTAAATTTCGCTGTACCTCTGAGCTCCGAATTACTATGTCTCAGTTACCTTCCTTACACGTATGTTGATTAGTTCGAGTCTCAACGGTGATATCAATGTGATCGAATAGGAACCGAAACTTCCAAGGTTGCGGCTTGTGGGTACTTGAGGGCCGACCCGAAGTGATCCATAGAACGAAAATTACATACTGACATCTGCAGATCCTCTGCCTTCAACAATCTAGTTGTTGTCACTCCGTTGGGGCATGAGCTCGAGTGCTTTCGCTTTCCGCCGCGAGAATATCCTTGCCGCTCCGCTCATCGACTTTTTGCCGGCGATAAAATAGTTTAGAGCGCATTGAGCCAGGATAGTTTGAATATCCCATAGATAACTTGATCCGATTTACCACTACAGGAGAGGGGCTTCGCTAGTCTTAGTTTGCCTATGTATCACTATAAATCACCCATCACCCATTCAAGTTTTCCGTCAATCAATACAATGGATTACACGGAGTCCGAGCCTGTACTGGAATCCAAGCCTGAGTCTGAGTCTCATAAAAGCGACTTTGGGACTCATGCAGCAAAGCCCCACCCGCTACTTTCGGAAATTTATATCCAGGCACAAAATCCACCTGTGGATCGAACGTCCATAGTATGTTCACTATGATCGGAATACCCGTAGCTACGCAAGAACCGAGCGTACCCAAACAATTCAAACCGGCCATTTAATATTAACCGCAAAATTCGCCATTGCATCGCTCGGATAATCCCAGATTACGACTTCTCGTAAAACCCCACAGGCTTGAATGCCGGGGGGGTACGGACTATAAGATGGCAAGTGTCCCCTCAGATAATTGCAAACACAAAATGGATACCTTCGAGTACAATTCCTACCCTGTCCGTCTTCGGCAGCGACACGCTGCAAAAATTTGCCGATGAGATCTCCTGGCCAGAAGTGAAGGCCCCGCTGGTGCTCTCGACACCCCTGCAGATCGGTCAGGCCGAAAAAGCGAAAGAGTTGCTCAAGGGCCAGATCACGGGTATCTTCAGCGGGTGCGACTATGCATACTCTCATGAATGTCACAAGGCTCTTGGGTATGCGAAGGACCAGGGAGCAGATTCGGTCATTTCCATTGGAGGCGAAAGCACTATCGGTCTTCAGAAGGCGATCAGCATTCGCACTGGACTACCGCATATTTGTATTCCGACTGCATATACTATTAGCGAAATGGCTCCGATTCTAAGTGAGACTGCCAATAGATCGAAGAAGACTCAGTCGGAGCCCAGAATCTTGCCCGACACGGTCATCTATAATGTAGAGCTCACAATGACCTTGCCGGTGCCTATTAGTGCCACTAGCGGTGTTAACGCCATTGCGACTTGATTAATCTGCACCAGCTTCCTATGCACGAATCTAATATGTTCCTGAATGGCCGAGGCTTTCTACGTGCGCAACACCAACCCAATCATCAACATGGCGCTCGAGGGCATACGGGCACTTGCGTCCTCCCTTTCCGAGATTATTGAGAACCTATTTTCTCAATCTGCATGATCCAAGGCATTGTATGGTGCCTGGCTTTGCAGCGTAGGCATGTCCTTCCAATCTTTCCCACACGCGTGGCGTGAAGGATTACGGGATTAAGGAAGGAGACCTCAATAATACGGCTGATATTGCGCTATCCAATACTTACTAAAATCCTCGCCCGATTGAACGCGCGCCGATCCGCGAGTTGCTTCGCAGGGTTTGGGCGGGAGAGCCAGCACGGGCGGACTTGTAGATATCCTTTGCCTTTTTATGTCGAAATGCTGAAATGCGTAAATAGCTCTGTAGTTCGGGAATAATTTGATTATGTTTGCACCAAAATTCGCTCTCTAGGCAGTTGGTCTGCTGTCTGCCAATGGGCTCTATTGTATTTTACCGTTATCCATTGGCGGGGTGGTGGGGGGATCTTTTTTTTTTCTCCAAAACTTTTGCAATTTTTCGTCGTTTTTGATTCACTACCACGCTTCCTCCCTCTATCTTACAAAAATGGGGTCTGAAATGAAGTCAGCCCCTGTGCTGTCGACTGCTGATGATCGTATTCTCGAAGAAATCAATCTAGTGGCGACGCGAGACCCAACGGCTCCAGTGTCAGACGATGAACTTTCCATTACCTACGATATCGAGCGCACATTGAAGGATATTCGGCAAGCGCGGTACAAGCGCATTGCGCTCCAGTTCCCAGATGATATGCTTCCTGATGCTCCGCGAGTATTTCAATTGCTCAGCCGGGGCCTGGAACGCGAAGAAGTCGGCACCAATGGCACACAGCCCTCGAACCAAACCGACCCTAGCAACGCCGATACCGACCTTGCTCACTCGATAACGGAGCTCCAGGTGGAGGATAAAACGGAACAACACTCTCCTCGGTTGACAATTTTGGCCGATACATCCTACGGGACCTGCTGCGTTGACGAAGTGGCCGCGGAACATGTGGACGCAGATGTGGTTGTACATTACGGGAGGTCCTGTCTGTCGCCAACAGCTCGTCTACCCGTGATCCATGTCTTCACACATAAGGATCTGCCCCTTGAACCAGTGATACGAGCGTTCAAGGCAACCTATCTTGATCCAACGACCAAGGTTATCATCGCGGCCGACGTCACCTTTTCAGACCACGTTCCTACGGTATACGCTCGCCTGGTGGAAGAGGGATATAGCAATATATATGCAACGGAAGTTGTTCATGAACCTTCATCATCGATTCCCAATCGCACAGTTCCCGAGTCGGTTCGAGAGGCGCCCGAGACACTGGCCGACTGGCAACTGTTTCACATATCCGATCCGCCAACAGCCCTCATGATGACGCTCGCGTCTCGCGTTGCAGCAATCCATATTTATCCTACCAACGACCTTTCAAATGAGAACGTTAAGCCATTGCCTGCTTCAACTACTGCGGTTTTGCGACGCCGGTATGGCACTCTTGCCTCTCTGACAACCGTGCCTATCTGGGGCATTCTTATCAACACTTTGAGTGTCAAGAACTACCTGCATATTGTGGAACATGTCAAGGAACGAATTGCCAAAGCAGGCAAGAAGAGCTATATGTTCGTGGTTGGCAAATTGAATGCTGCCAAGGTAGCCAATTTCAGTGAAATCGGTGGTTGGGTGGTCATTGGCTGCTGGGAAAGCTCTTTGGTGGATAGCAAGGATTTCTGGAAGCCAGTCATCACTCCCTTCGAATTAGAGCTGGCCTTGAAAAATGACTCAGACCGGGTATGGACAGGAGCGTGGCAGAGTGACTTCCAGGCAGTCCTCGACGCACCAGCCCAGGAGGTCAACGGAAATGGAGATGACCAGGAGACATCCACTAGCACAACCATGTCCGATGAGGACGACATGTCAGAACCCGAGTCGGCGCCGCCTGAGTTTGACTTTCGGACCGGTCGATACGTCTCACATTCCCGCCCAATGCGGGATCCCGCGCCTCGCGCTTCTCAAGTTGATGGATCATCCACCAGCGGGCCATCCGCTGCTAGGGCACTGGCGCGACGAGCTAAGGGTGACTTGGCTATGATCGGCGGTGCCTTTTCACCAGGGGCTGAATACTTGCGATCTCAACGGACATGGAAGGGTCTGGGTAGCGACTTTGATATTCGATATGATGAGGAAGACTTGGATGATAGTACCCTAGTCAAGGAAGGGCGCAAGGGTATTGCGAGGGGCTACACTGTAGGCGATGCGACCGACAAACATTAGTCCACATGGCCTAGCATAGAAACCATTTGCAATAGACTCAGCGATCAGTGCATCGTATTTCCTATGCATAACAAAATCTATGAACGACTGAAAATCCGGGGTTTGATGGCTATCACATGACGCTGGTCTCTCCTAACGGGCGCATCCGGATATCACCTTGTGTCGCTCACCCTTTGCACTTGTTTTCCTACGCCTTTGCTTCCTTTCATTGATTCAGCGTCATAGGGGCATAAGTAATCATTCTCTCTTTCTTTGCTTTCCCCTCTCTTTGGGGATTTCGTCTGTTCCCCTCCTTTTATACCCCTCCCTTTCTCCGTCCCCCTTCAGATACCCCAATTCGTCAGCCCTTGCTACCTGATCTTTTCAATTATCGACTCTTTACCTTTAATGGCCTTGCATGGTGGCTTACCTCAGGGTGTGCTTCCCCCCTCGATTGCATCTTCAAGTTGTCTTATCATGTGCCGCGTCTCTAACCGCCGAGCTCGCGACCTCGCGCCATTTCGATCTTCGACCTAAGAAGTGGCATCTTTTGTTCACCCAGAACATATGACGAATCACGATCTCGACACTATGGCTAGGGGGAATGCTGCTGGTGAGGATCCAGCGTCGCACCCGACGGTGCTGGAAAATGCCTTACAACACTCTGTTATCCCAGAAGAACGGACCCTGTCCACCTTTGAGCGAGTGATAACAACAAATGCACCTATATTCGAGTCTTTATTACTTCAGATCCCGACCGATACCATCATAAAGCTGTATCACACTTCAAATTACCTCCGTACGTTCCTTCGATCATATCCGACCGCATGGAAGTCACTCTCGTTTCGCCTACAATTTCCTTCAAGCACTCTGCCAAATCCTCAAATCAATGACCCAAGCGGCCTTGAGACAGCGCCCGCGCGTCAATCTAGGCCTTACGCGCTAGACATGTTCCTGATGAATGTGGTTATCCCATTCAGTAGGTGTTTGAAAAGCCTAGAACTGGATAACACGGCCATTTCGGGGGAGAACCTGACCTCAACCGTGCTGCATTCACGTCGAGAGACGCTGGTACATCTCTCTGTTCGGGGCTGCAAGAATGTGTCTTTGAAATATCACATCGTTCCTTTCTTGACCATGTTCGCGCTGCAGTGTGACATGGACATGGAGAATAACACCGGCAGCTCTCCCGGGATGCAACAGCTTGCTCTCAAGAGTATCTACGCCTATCGCTGTCGTCACCATAGAAGACGCCCTTATCTATCATCCTCACTGATGCGGAAGGACGCTGACGCGGAGTCGACCCATGAACTTGTCAATATCTGCCACAAGCTAGGCATTTGGACTGATACCGCTTGGTGCACCACACCTGCCGGTAGATGCGCTCGTAGAGCCGGTTATGTCAAATCGAGGTTCCCGCATGGAGCAGGGTCGCCGGAAGTTTGGGTGGTCTTTGATCGACTCTGGAGATCCAAAAATTGGATCGGCCCAACCGAAACGGAGTCTTCTCAGCCACACGTATACGATGGAAAGCTGTGGGAGAATCGCGACACTGGATTTTATGGCGAGGCATTAGGAACTGGCGAGGGTATCGACTGGGGTGAAGGCAAAATGACGCCTGCCCATATGCGCCGGAGTCATACCCAATTTGTCGACAAGATCCGCTGTGACAACTGCCTCGAGGATATCTCAGAGCGATGTGAACATTGCAGCGTCCTGATGCACTGTGTCGGATGCCGTAAAACACTCTGCGCAAGCTGTGCCCACGAACGGCCGTATCTTCACAGAAGCACAACATCTTCGTCTGAAAAAGCCCAGAACGCACCGGGTTCCTTCTGGTGGGCACCAGGGGCCACACACTCTCCAGGCTCAATGCAGGATCCCGTGGATATTCTGACCGATCCCCATCAACCCCATGGTACAGGATTGGACCCACCACCTATCCTCAATTTCCATTGGTGCTGCACCAAGCCTGACCTCTCTGGGGGCGGTGGGATTAGCATCGGACCTCGCAATGGTGAGGTGGACCAAGTACGAGCCGTGCCTTTGCCTCGTGGCCAAGGTTGGGAAGATCTAGAGTACACCGTTAGTGAATGGAGCAAGACGTTCCCCAAGTATGCATATGGGGATCCGAGCAAACCGGACTACTCGCTTGAAACGGGTCATCTGGCGATGATGAAATGGCTCCTAGGACCACCTAACCGGGAAGTCTCACCGTGTCCGCGTAACTTGTGTCAAGGATGTTACGATTCACCACAGTGGAAGGTGCACTGCAAGAGCTGCTCAAGGCCTCTCTGTATTGAGCATGACCTCCGCGGGCTTCGCCTAAGGATTTGCGGCTACCGAGACCTTGAGACGGAAAAGCAAATCATTCAAAATCGGTGGGCTGGAAATCTTTCGGGATCTCTTATTTCTAGTCAAATTCCCGAATACGACCTACTATTCAGAAGCCAGGAGCTTCTTGACTCGACCAACAAAAGCTACATTGACGATTCACGCCAGGATAGTATGGACGAGGAAAATACACCCGAATCACATGTTGGTGATCAGTCGGCTCCTGTTTCCTTCTTCTCCAACCAACCAACTCGCTCATTTTCGGCCCCTGCATCTGACCATTCTTCCCCTCCCTCATCCTCATCCTCCACCTTCTTTGATTCGCCGCTATTCGAACCACGATGGCAAGGTTGCCAATCCTTTTTCTGCCCCCCGGCTGATCCTATAACCGGAATCAGGGATGTCCGAGGCGGTATCAGGGATCCACGTCCTAGGTGCTCTAGCTATCTGCGCGAATGCAAAGGCTGCAGGGTGTATGTATGCGCGGACTGCATATACACTCATTCCCCCTGCAAATGCTCGTATTGCGAGGAAACTTACTTGTGTCCCAACTGCGTGGCGGACCTCCCTCGTGACAGCCTGTGCCGCCGTCGCCAGGAGGAAAAGGCGCAGCGTGATCGCAAATGGAAAAAGGAAATGCAAGTGCTTGAAGCTATCCTGGAGCTCAAAGTGGCTAATGAGCTAGCTGAGTTTGCAGGTGAGTTCTTTGACCTCGTCGAGCGGCGCAGCAGTCTGCCTTCGGAGACGGAGACAACGGTCCCTTTTGATGACGGGATTGTCGATCCTTTCGAAGGTGGCATTGCAGTACCGGAAACATCCGCCTCGCATTTCGAGTCTGATGACCTTGACTGGTTCCTCCCAGACTCGAATTAGTCCGAGGCGCTGCTCACCGTCTCCGTTTCGGACTTTCGGACTTTCATGGTTCTCATCCTAAGTTTGTTTTTCCTTTTTTTTTTCCTGTTTCCTTTCTCTCGGTTTTTTCAGCGATCTCATATACTGGCGTCATATGGGAGTCTATCTACTCTTATGAAATATTTTCTAAGCAATCTATCCCAGCGGGATCAATATCATGTCTTAACCCGGCGTTGTACCATGTGAATATGGGCGCATTGCGCATACGTGCTTCTGCCACCCCCTCTTCAAACCGGGCTGAGGCTGTCGATGGGCGGTTCCTCGGAAAGGGCTGCGTTGACATAACTGGCCAATGGATGCAGGCACCAACGCCAGAATTTACGATTTATTTGTTATTTTTACTTTCATTTGCCGACCTGCATGGGGAATGAATGTGGAATTTGACCATGTAGAGGCATATCTTAAAGGATCAGGTATTATTTTACCGCTTGCTCTTTATCTTTTCATCCTTGTAGCCTTAGACCAATGACCGTATCTCCCTTGTGTTGGATATTGAACCCTTGAGTCTAAGGTTTGATACCCTGGACAAACTATAATCACAGCCAGTAATAATGCACAGGCAAGACCAACTCCGTTCAGATAGCGGAATGTAATCAAGCCCATTAAACCATCATCTTCCGTCAGCTGGAATGAACAAGCATAGCCCCGATCAAACATCCCAACTGCGGTTTCATCTGACTGTGCTGAGATGCCCTTGACAAAAGCACCAGAAGCATCTTAGCGTTTCAGAACGTGTCGGGCCGTAGATGGATAGAGGGATGCGGTCAAGGACAACGGCCATGACACAGCGCTAGCGTATGCAAACCACGTGGATTGTCGAGATGCAACGTCTACGGCTCTGCACGTCCCGGGGCTATCGGCGGTGTAAACGCTATTTGGGCCAATCGAGCCATGCAGGATCCCGGGTAGTGTTGGGCTCTACCTTGTACATACTACAGTGGTACAGGGTTTTCGAGCGGTCCGTGTGATTCAGCCAGCCCTTTCGGCCTTCTAGCCTTCCAGGGTTGGAGGGTTGGCTCCCGGGTTGGACTCCGAGTTGGACTCCAAGTTGGACTCCGGGTTGGACATCAGGGCTGAACTTCAGGGCCGAAGGTGTTGGGCGCCAAGATCTATATGTGTTTTTTTGTTGCCCGTTGTGAAAGTAGTGGAGTATATCCATAGAGTACGGAGTACTCCGTACTCCGTTATAGATCGCAGAAGTATCAACTTCGGGTGGATCGGGCGATCACTGGGAGGGAATCCAGTTCTACCCGCTTCCCCGGTGCCCCTTTTTATTTATATATTTATATATTTATATTTTTTATTCTTTAAAATTGTGATTCTTCTTCGATATGATACGTATCGACCCTTTCCCACCCCTTAAAAGCGACCCAAGATATCCGATCGGTTGGCGCGGATGTGGTTCCTCAGCCCCCGATTGGGTGCGGGACAACTTCGGTACGCTGGAAGCCATCCTATTAGTCGTACCGACAAGGCAGATTTGGAATGATCAGGTATGGAGTACAACTGTTGTACAGAATGTACTATGCTAGGTCCCGTTATGGTCTGACATCATCCCCAGTCCAGTCACTTTCTGAAACGGTACTTTTGCTCAAGGGGTAAAAATAAAAAAAAAACCCGTCACAAACTGATCTCGCCAATCAGCAACCGCCAATTCAGCTCTTCCCTAAGACAGGCTAAGCGGACCGATGGCCCGTTTTCAATTTAGGCTCCAAAAGGGAAGATGTCGGTGAACGCGTTCCTTGACCTTTAGACGCGTGACCGGTCTATTTCCGAAGCCAACATTATTTGACAGGGATTTTTGGGTTTTGTTTTTTTCTCTTTGGGAAATTAAGAACAGGGTTCTAGTGTCGACGATTTATTATTGATTTTTAATTGATTTTAATTCTGCGTGTCGTTTATATAAAGCCGTTCCTGTCGCACGTCGATTTGACTTTAATCCACCCACTTCCACCTTCTTGAGCCCCCTGAGAACTATACCTACTTCATTCTCGAACACTTTCATATCCACCATGGACAAAATCGAGACACCCAAGGAGGAGCCCAAGGAGGAGCCACAGAACAGATACAAGCCAACAATCGTGGAAGAGTACCAGATGAAATGGGACCAGATGCTTCAAGACACCGCAAGGCAAATCGACCAGATTCGAGGTACGTTTCTTTTCTGACATGGATGCAGAGGAGGGAAACTGACAGCTAGCATAGAGAACGAGCTAGCGAGGATGGCAAATAACAAGAATAATGATGATGATGATGACGACCAGCGCCAGCGCCGTTGAAGCTGTGGGATTTATTGGGAACCGAGCTTCTGGTGTTTGCTTTTTCGTGTGCTTTTTTTTGTTTGCTTCTTCTTTTTTTCTCTACGGATGATGAGAGCATGGATGGGATCAGAGCGTGTTTTTTTTTTGGGTACATTCTATACCTTGAAGCTTCGGTCATTCGCTTTACAACTTGGAAGGCAATCTACAAGGCAACATGCAGGAGAACACACTTTCCTTATATTTCTCCACTGACACAACTCCATGCGATGTAAAATAAATTAAATAAGGAAAGAGAGAGCCTCAAGTGGGGGTGGCACTTGCCTCTCTGGGGTTTATTGGTTTGTTCGACATATACTTTGTCCACTGCATTGCCAATCACCCTCAGATCCCTTTTCAGCCGATGCATGTCATGGCTGCCGCTAACGATCAAGTCGCCCACCCTTCCTTGTAAGCCATGCTTGTCGGTGGTCCCAAAGAGGCAGGAGACATTTCCTAACGGACCCTAGACCCCTCGATGTCGTCGCGCACAATGCCACCGTGATTCTAAGCGGTGTGCTTCTCGGGGCACTGCTTGCGTTCATCACTTTTCACCTGGGCTGGCTGCGCCACCATGTCCGTCTGAACGACCGGTTGGTCAACGCCATCTTCCCGCTGGGGCCTCAAGTCTTTTTCTTTACATTACCCTTGTGGTTTATTGTGACATTACGCCCTGCTGCGCGCTTTTCCGGTATGCATATCACAGTGGTGTGGAGTCAACCGGTCTGACTTGATTAGTGCTCGTAGCGGAATACGCTACTGCGGTTTATCGATCGCTGATGTCATATGCGTTCCCTGCTCCGGAGTATAATATCATTCTGGAGAGCACCATCGCAATCCCGGCTCAAATGACCGCGCCCTGAGATGTTGAATACGGAAACCGGACAAAGGACACTTGACAAGTACTCCAGTTTCAGATTATGCAGTCAAACAAATTCCAAGATCCCCGAGTACAAGTGCATTGTAGAAGGTATTGCGCAAAAGTCATAGGCGATTAGGGCTGGCGGCAAAAGCGCCAACGGGGAAAAAAGCCAAGTGTCTCCACATCTTTCCTTTTTGGGCTTTTGCTCCTCCATCCTCACCTGAACACGAATTATTACTCCGTATACTCCGTGCCTACCTTGTACACCGTTACACCGTCTATCAAAAAGCCCCCCTTACTCTATCTTTGCTTTTTCTGACCTGCCATCATGTCTGCCGATCTCGACCAAAACCCCTCCCCCGCCGACCTAGCCGAACGTGAACGCGAGAACAAAGAGCGCAAAGCCCGCGAGGATGCGGAACAGGCCCAGCTCCCTTACAAGTGGACACAGACGATTCGTGATGTGGATGTGACAGCACCGATTCCTGCCAATTTCAAGGGCCGCGACCTGGATGTGCTGTTGACCAAGAACAAACTCCGCGTCGCAATCAAGGGACAAGAACCCCTCATCGAGGTATGTCCACTGTTCCCCACCCCCGGAGAATTACACCATACACTCTAAATCAACACATTCCAACCCAAAAATCAGTCAGCTAATTGCCCCCATTTTTCTGTTCAGGGTGACTTCCCCCACGCCATCCGCGTCGACGAATCCTCTTGGACCCTCGAGACTACCCCCACCTTCCCCGGCAAGGAAATCAGCATCCATCTCGATAAGGTGAACAAGGTCGAATGGTGGCCTCATGTTGTGACTACTGCTCCCAAAATCGATGTCACCAAGATTACGCCCGAGAACTCCAGTCTGGGCGATCTGGATGGCGAGACTCGCGCCATGGTCGAGAAGATGATGTATGATCAGCGACAGAAAGAGATGGGTGGTCCCAGCAGTGACGAGCAGCGGAAGATGGATTTGCTGAAGAAGTTCCAGGCTGAGCATCCCGGTACGTTGTTTCCTTTTCAATCTCTCGAATTTCTGCGATGTTCTTTCGTTTCAATATGTTGTTAACCTGCTTGCAGAGATGGATTTCTCTAATGCCAAGATGGGTTAAACCCCCTTGGATGATCTTCGATGAGTGATGAATTGCATGGCGTTTCTCGAATCCAATTCCAGGTCTTCATAGCTTCAATATATTCCTAAAAGTAGATGTCTTTTATTCAGTTTCTGGTCAACTTCTCATTGTTTCTGCGAATACGAGAATTGCCTAATCGGGGATAGCGTCCGTTCTAGTCTTCTCCTTCGCCTCCTCGTATTCTCCGTCACCACCTAGTTTCTCTTCTATTTGGACACATGAAGTGGCCAGGCTGATTAGAACAAGGCGCAGTTCTACAGACTTGAGCTTCACTAGTCGCCTTGCACCAGTCTGACATCTCAGGCGCAGAGCTATATCGTAACCATATCTCGATGAGAAAGGCTACGGACACACTCCCCGCACGCCTAAGACCAGCTTGTTCGTATAGTCTTCTATGTACTTCGGATTTAATAGACCGTCGGCAAATATTCCCCGTGTCAAATTATACTTTGAGAAACGATGGACGACACGCAATCTAAACCCCTGCCCCGGCCACGCTCGTCTAGACACATGCAGGGGCAGAATATGGTCTTTCGAATCCCAAACTACAAATCAAAGGATTCTCTAGCGTGCGGGTCCGAACCATCTGAACCGGTCTATCATTCCCGCAGGTCTCATCGAAAATCCCGCGCCGGCTGTGTGAACTGTAAGCAACGAAGAGTCAAGGTACTTCGGACGCCCCCATTATCAACCGTCTGCTGATAATGACCGATCAAGTGCGATGAAGCAAAACCACGTTGTCTCCGGTGCCAAAAACATGGCAGCGAGTGTGACTACTCGGGCCAGCCAGCCCGACCTCAACCTCAGAAGACCAATAATATCGTTTCCCAGTTTATCAAGACCAACTCCGACTTGATCTCGATTGATTCTCTAGCCTCTTCAATGTCTCTAATGATGGTCGCGGACAAATTGAATGAATTACTGCAACCGCCCTCTGCTACCGGTATCAAGCTGCCGAGAGCACTCACAGATGCCACAGCATCAACCCGCATCTTGGAAGCATTGCATCATTTCCACAAAGCCCCAGCCTTTGCAACCGAAAGCCAAACACCCGTTCGAATCGTAATGGGCAAAATGGTCCAACTTGCCTTCGAAGTAAGTCCATCCATAGTTTATCTAAAAGCCATACCTCAACAAAACACAGCTATAATCTACCTAATAAAACTCCCAAACTAACCACCAACCAACCCAGACCCCCTTCCTCATGCACGCCATAATAGCAGCCGCAACAACCCACCTCTGCACCCTCCTTCCAGACAACAAAGACTACCGCCTAGCAGAAGCCTACCACTGGCAACAAACAATCAACCAATACTCGACCGAAGTCTCGAAAACCATAACCCGCGCCAACATGGATAAGCTCTACTCCACCTGCATGATAGTCAGCATGCACTCCTTCCACCAAGAAACCTTCAACCCACGCACCTCCTTCGTCTTCACAACAGACCCAACCGCACTAACCTGGCTCCGAATCCAAGCCGGCATGCGCTACCTCCTCGAGCGCACGGGCCACTGGCTCCCGCAGAGCATGTGGTGGACGGTATTCATGGAGTCGCGGGATGCATCGCTGGACTTCGAGGATAAGCGTCCCGGGCGTGTGGGTCTTGATCCGGATTTGGCGGATCTTTGTGGGATTGCGGAGGAGACGACCGTCGAGGAGAATCCGTGTTTGTGGCCTTTGCGGATGCTGATGGGGTTGTTGCCGTTTGAGAGGACTACGGAGAGTTTTAAGGTTTATAATACTTGGATGGGGAGGTTGGAGAATCCGTTCTATGGGTGTTTGCTTAGGAAGGAGGCGCCGGCGCTGGTTTTGTTGGCTTGGTGGTTGGGGCTTATGTGTTATGTTGAGGAGTGGTGGGTTGAGATGAGGGTTCGTTCGGAGTGTACGGCTATCTGTATGTTTCTGGAGGATAGTTGTGATCCGTTGGTTTTGAGGTTGTTAGAGTTTCCGGCGTCGTGTTGTGGGTATTTACTTAGACATGAGCAGGAACGGGCTGGGGTTTTTGAGTTGGATTGATTTGGTTTGAGTGAAATTGGTTTATATCTTGGATTTGCATTGATACCCTTTTTGTTGGTTGGTGTTCTATCGAGGATAGTAGTAATCAAGCTAGATGTGGAACATTTGATTGACGAAATATAGTATAATTTATTCGGTTTATCATAATTGTTACACTATGTCTGGATGTGAGTGAGTACCGGTAACCGAGTATCTCGATACGGTGTCCTCCTGCATCTATGACAAGCGAGTATGTGCAGATCAATATTAAATATCCAAGGCTATCCCAGAAGAAATCCCTTTTTGCACCAAGTCCAGTCCCAGTCATACCATATAAATGATGTCGTCGCGTCATGTGCAATAGAACAGTACCAAAGAAAAATGATAAGCAGAGAAAGAAAACAATGCAGCAGTCGTGCAAAATAAATGTAAATCGACAATGGAAGATCCCAAACGATCACAGGCCACGATTCCAGATCGCCTAGACCAAAAGAGCGATGTGGAAAATATTAAGCAGGTAGCTAATAAGCAAAGGGCAGCAAGCAAACGTTCTTTCAGAATGTATTAAACGAGTCTATCATCGGCTCTCCCAAGAGACCCGCCGATGACGACGAAGGGACTGATCATCCTCCTCAGAGTATGTAGGTCCAGTCCGCGAACCGCTCATGCGGGCAGCGGGAGGTGGATTAATGATGACCGCCATAGTAGACGAGATGGACATGGACCGCGAGCGACTCAGCACTACGGATTGACGGGGAGAGTATGGCGGTGGTGGAGTATCCCTCGTTGCGGTGGAGGTATTGCCGTAGCTGCTGGGAAAGGAAACGGCTGATGAACTATCGGAGGTGAGATCTCCATCGTAATGATCGTTCTTTTCATCGTTGGGGCAGAAGTTCTGAGACTCGGAGGAAATAGATGGATCACGCATATGGGCTTCCAAAGTCTTCTCGTGGAGGCTCATTGGACGGGCTGAGTACTGCGGGAGAGGGACCACGCTAGAATAGCCTCCATCCTGCGAGTCAGAAGGCGGGGGCCCGTGCCCATGGCTCCCGGCTGGCGGTGCTGGGGACGCTGGGCGGATAAATTCGCCTTCAGCGGAGAGTGTAAAGCGTCCTGTCTGGATGCCGTTGGGGCTGAGTCTTTTGGCGACCACCTCCGAAGAGGGATGGGGCTGCGAGAGATTCTCGTCTCGAGTGAAGCACCCGCAGAGTGCCGAGAGGAAATACATGACTCAATGAGAGACTGTTTTCTAATTGACTGTGTCAAAGCCAATATTGATTTGACTATAGCGAGAGAAAGTTGGCCCGTGAGTTCTGTAGCAAAAAACGCCGGACAAGAACTATCGTATGAGCAGTTCGACTGTTGAGCCTCAAACGCCGATAGTGGGCTGAACCCCACTTGCGTCGATAAGCCCCAGACCTGAACCGGCAAACAGGAAGAATATGAATCAAATATGAATCTAGAAAATCATGCTCAAACAGAAAGAAAGGCAGGAAATGAGGGGTGAAAGAAAGGCCAGAAAGCTGACCGGACGAGGCACCCGCAGGCATCCAGATTCCCAGGAACTCTGATTAGCTGATAAGAGAGTATAGGTGCCTGAGGCAGTCAATGGATATCAAAAGCATCTCCAGCTGTTTCAATGAAGGGTTGGCTCATAATGTAAGAAAACGTGGACCTCTCATAATAATACCATAGAGCCAAACATGGTAAGTCAAACAATGCTAGGTTTCGCTAGGTTGCACCGGCTAGCATCGGTGAATTGTGATATGCAAGCTGCAACTATTTCCGAGATACTATCGAGCGTCCATTGGCTCTGAAACATACTTGCCCCAGGAGAAGCTAGCCAAATCAAATGAGACTCAACGAAGTCAATTAGGAGTTGACAAAAAAACATCAAGCTAAGAAAGATATCTGCTTAAACAATCAGTCTCATACATCAAGTATTTTTCTGCATTACTAGCCTAAGTGGTAGCTAGCCATCACAATCTTTGAGCGCTTATATCAGCATAATGATATTCGAGCTTCTAGCACATATGAGACGTATTGATCCTCAGTAAAGCATCTTATGTCGTCCACGGAAGTAAAAGACCGATAAGCGATAGGCGATAAGATCCGACGTACCCAAAAATAAATGAGGCGGTGTATCAATAGAGAGCATATGATTGGTTGAACAGTCATGTGGGTCGAGGGACAAGAAAATATTTGGGCAAAATCCAGTCATGTGATCCAAGCACCCCGCCAATCGCGTCGCCGCCTGGAAATTTTTTGTTCTCCCCGCCTTCTCGACCATCGCTTGAGTGATTATATTCTTTTCCCGAATTCCAAATCTCGAGTCAATCAGAACTACTACAAGGCTCAACCAACGTCATGACCGTCGATCCCAGTATCCAAGAGGTGACACAAAATGTCGAGCCTCCTCAGGTCGATCCTCATCGTTCCCACGATCCCAGCAACAACCTGAAACGGACCGACCCCTTCCAATTCGGCTCAAGATACCTTGAAAAGGGCGATGATGTTTTTGAGTTCAATGCTTGGGATCACGTCGAGCCAGACGATGAGTTTAAGGCTTTCGCCGAGACCCAATATGCGAGACAGCGCGAAACACGTGTGTCGGACTTTGATCGCAATCGGTTCAACCAAGACCCCGCCAAGTGGTGGGACCTTTTCTATAAGAACAACACAGCCAACTTCTTCAAGGATAGAAAGTGGCTGCGCCAAGAATTCCCCATTCTCGCTGATGTGACACAAAAGGACGCGGGTCACCAGGTTGTGCTGGAGGTTGGTGCAGGAGCCGGAAATACCGCCTTCCCATTGCTGGCCAACAATGAGAATGAGCATCTGAGAGTCCATGCCTGTGATTATTCCAAGTATGCCGTGAAGGTCATGCGCGAGAGCGAGCTCTACAATGAGAAATACATGTCCGCTGATGTCTGGGACGCAACCGCTGTGCCTGACGAGAACGGCGACTCTCTTCCGCCCGGTCTGACCGAAGGCTCAGTCGACGTTGTGATTCTAATCTTCATCTTCTCCGCCCTGGCCCCTAACCAGTGGGACCAGGCTATCCGCAATATCTACCGTCTCCTGAAGCCCGGTGGCCGTGTGTTGTTTCGCGACTACGGCCGTGGTGACCTCGCCCAAGTGCGATTCAAGAAGGGTCGATACATGGCCGAGAATTTCTACATCCGAGGTGATGGCACACGTGTTTACTTCTTCGATAAGGACCAGCTCATCGACATGTGGAGTACCTGGAGCGCAGAAAGCGGATTGCAGATTCCTATTGGTGATGAGAACCCCACCGAAGAAGCATCCGAGGAAAAGAAAGATCCTCAGCCCGCAGAGGAGCTGTCTGCAGAGGCCAAACAACTGGCAAAGGACAGCGGAGCGTTTGAGGTCCTTAACATGGGGGCTGATCGGCGACTAATTGTCAACCGTGGGACCAAACAAAAGATGTACCGCTGCTGGATGCAGGGCAACTTCCGAAAGCGCGGTGGAGCTGAGTCTGAGGCTAAGGCTGTCACCGAGAACACTCAATAAATCTGAATCACCAATTCTGCGATGGTCATTTCAGATGGCTATAAATATTCACCAAAGCCTCCTCAAAGACAGGAAATTCATCGTCTACCGACAAGTACAGGTCACAATAATTGTGATGGTCTTTCCCACCGTCCAATCTTGATCTCGTGATTTTGGCCATGCGTGGACTCAACCCCGTGCTTTCTGGTGTATCTCAAACCCATGGCGTCGAGATAAACACCAAACTGTTGGCGCATTTCCAGTGCGAAAAGCTGATACAACACCTCGAAAGGCCGCGAGGAAATGGCTTGGGTTGCTATGTATATAGGGCAATGGCTTCATGATGGAGTTATGAATATACGACACATACATTAGAGCATGGAATTTAATTTGCAAGTACAGTCCAGGAACAAGGCCTACCATATAGAGAACCATCAAGGTTCCGATATAGGAAGATAACTCTCTATTCCACATAAAACAATATACCGAGAGGATTAATGCTTTATAGGATTCGGAAGAACAACTTTGAAACCCATGGCTGATGATAGAGATACGTAATTTACGAAAGGAAACATAGAATATATCGAAATCAGTCTTTGTTCGTTCTACAGATATTGACAAAGGGAGTCTACAATATGTAGATTCCTAAGTGCAGCAAGAATCTCAAAAGTACACGCAAAAAAGCAAAAATCTTTGTGCACACCCTGTATCTAGACAGACCGAATGGTGCGAAAGGGAGAGACATCGGAGTTATGTACAATCCAAGGCTCTAAGAAGAAGAGTAGAAAATCAAGACAAACACCATCCATGCAGGCAAAATGGGCATCAACGGTGACAACTCTCGTAAAAGAGATAAAATTTTTCATTGCAAAGGGCCATATCAAGTCGTGACCCGTAGCAAACTGTGAGCCTAAACGTTGCTAAACGTTCAATCGCTGTATGTTGAAAAGCGAAACCACGTACCACATGATATTTGTCCATGAGCAAAAGGCAAAGAGCAATGGACAATGCAAAGGTTGGTTGGACGTAACTTCACATCGTCATGTTCGGACACTCGCCCAGGGCTCGTTGGAAGGCCCCCGCGAACAAGTCCTGCATGGCGTGATAGTGGAAGAAAATCCCACCCAGGACAGCCAGGTGCCAGATATTGTGGCTGCCACCGACATAATCGAAAAGACCTGGCTTCCAGCGCTCAGGAACTTTGGAAGCGTAGACACAGGCACCGATAAAATACACCATGATGCTCTTCATGACTGGTGCATAGAAATACATGGTCCATGAGAAGCCACGGGTATAAATAAGCTGCGCTATGGGCGAGAAACCAGTGAGTGCAAGGGTCACGTAGAATCCTACGCGGGCCCATGCCATATCGTGGCGGTTGAAGGTTGGGTGCCAAGGTAGAATGATGCCACCGATGCCGAATGACATGGTAAGCAGAATGTATACCCACCGGGAGAAGGGCTCGCAATAGAAAGCAGTGTACTCGGTCGTCACAATCGAGGCAGCGACGAGCATAGAGATTCCAGTGTAGTCCACACAAGCGAATCGTTCCATCAATGGTTGCGAAGCAATGCTGTTCATAGTATGCCAAATAGTGCTGCAGACTAGACATTTACATGCAGCAAAGAAGAAGACGGCAGCGATTGTGACGTCGGATTTGGAGCTCAAGTGGAAATTGGTGTGAAGCGGGTAGAAGTAAAAGGCGATGGCTAGGACGATGATGAGGCCGATCACATGGGACCAGATGTTGAACATTTCATTCGAGAAGGCGAAAATCGACGAGACACATTCTACCTTGGAAGTGGTGAATCGGTAGCCATTGAGGATGTGCGGGTTGACGCGCCATGGGTGAGGTAGTTCATCGTAGTTGATCAATCGCTTCTCCTTGGCTAGCCGGATAGCTTCCTCAATAGTATCTCGCAGAGTATCACGAGCATGGCGGGCACGCTCCATACCCTCGTCAACGATTTCTCGGGCGTGAACCAAGCCCGAATCGACCGCTTTCCACCCGTCATCTATAGTTCCGTAGATGCCGCGATCGCGAACCGCATGCACTTTGCTCTCAAGTTCGACCAAGAATGACTCCATTAACCGCACACCGGCTTGCGCCTTTTGTTCCAGAGTCTCCTTGGTCACCAGGGCTTCATTGTATCCATCCTCGAGGGTTTCAACCAGAATCTTGGCCCGCTTTTTGCCACTTCCCATCAACTCTCCCGAGGCGAGAGAGCATTGATCTCTCACGGCTTCCAGCGTAGCATAGCCTCGTTTCAGACTGGCATCGACTTGCACCATGTGGGATTTCCGGTATTGCTCGATCCAGTGCATCCGACGTTCCAGTTCGGATAAGAAGAGTTCGACCTAGGAGTTGATTAGACACACTATTTCCCGGGTATATTTTCCACTGGTAATGCATGTACATACCCTGATAAATACTGCATCTGCATCTTGATAGTCGCACGAGAGTTTTCTAGAAGCATGGAACGAATGTCTGCGCCGATCACGGAGCATACCGGTATTCTCATCGGGGGTCGCAGTGGCAGAGGCAAATGCCTCTGCTTCAGGAGACTGCGCCGTCATTGAAGAAGCGCCGCAAGCCATGGGGTGTAGTTGAGAGTTCAACTGTTCAGCCTCAGTCGAAGGCCATACGGAGTGGGATGGGCGATAAGCGTTGAGAGGCAAGGGTAGCGGAGAAGAAGTACCGGGAGACCGGAGAAGAACCCAAGACACAACCTCGGGTTGAAACGAGCTTATTTAAATGACAAGGAATGAGGGGCATATAGAGGATCTAGAAAGTACAAAAAAAAAGGAGGGGGAGTGTAAGATGGGAAAACCGAGCGCTGGGGGGAAAAGGGCAAGTTCCCAACCACACTAAGTCCCCGAGGCACACTGCGGCCCCGAACATCCTGATTGATCCCGCCTCTCCCGCAACATCTCTCGCCACCGATTCATCCCATTTCCACAATATGGCTATCAGTGAAATCGTCGCCGATGAGTCGCTCTTGCCGGTGCTTCAGACTAGCGCTGAGACTCTGGTGCAGTGTCAGCATCTTCTCACCATCCTGAACCCCGAAACCCAGCCCAACGATGCCGCCAAGGTCCGAGAATTATCTTTAGCCGCATCTAAACAACAGAAACTCCTTTTCGCACTGCTGGCCCAACTTCGCGGGCAGAATCGGGATGCCATTTTTCGCGTGCGCGACACCAAGCAATCAACTGCGGAGGCTCGACAGGAAATCGATCGGCTACATCTTCAGCTCCAGAACTTGTACTATGAACAGAGGCATCTGACAGGCGAGATTGCGGCTTGCGAGGCATATGAGTACGTGATCTGAATTTCCTACTCACAGCATCTCATCTTACTGTGGCGAAAAATTGACATATTTGCTGTAGTCACAAATACCTCTCCCTCCCCTTGATCCCGGTCGAAGAATTCTTGGAGCTTCATCCCGAACATCGCAATTCCAGCGAACATGACCTCATGATTGCCCGCATCGAACACGAGCATGTTGAACGAGAGAAGCTGGAGCAAGCGCGGCAAGAGCTTTTGAAGCGCAAGCAGGGCTTGATCGCAGAGAACAAGAAAAGGAAGAATGACCTTGCCAACCTCGACCAAGATCTCGAAAAGTTCATTGATGTATGTTATACCGCTTGTCCAGGTCTGCTATCGATGAGTTTGCTAATAAGTTTCATGACATTTAGGCTGCTAAACCTATTCAAAAGATCTTCGAGAAGGAATACTAGACATTGCATGTGGAGGTACAGCGGTGGAGGCCTAGCCTTTTGACTGCTACATCGGATCGGCGTTACTTGTCAATATACCCTTGTTTTTTTGTGATTTAAGAGCACTCGGAGTCGATGATGGCATCCTAGACCCGTTTTGGGACTTTCTTTAAAAAGGCTAGATTGGATGCGAATTGCTTTGAGCCATTGGGTGCAGAGATCGCACCCCCAAATCAATTAATTAAGAGATTATGAAACTAAAAGTTCAGCTCAAAAAATATGTCGTACGGAGTATAGCCGACTGTTGTTGCTCCATGCGGCCACCTAGGTAGTAGTCCTTGGCTTCTCCGCCCGGCAAACTCCCTCAATTCAACAATCGACTTGAGAACACTTCCTCCTTTGTTGCTCCGATTTAGAGCACAAAGCATGTCCCGACCATGACGACCAAAACAGGAGACCAGGAGTCTCCTCAGGCTTCGTCCTCTCAAGGCGACCAGCTCAGCGTCAAGCGCGCTCCACCCCCAGAAACCCCGGCCGCCCTTCAAACGCGATTTCGAGTGATAGCAGCCTTTTGGGCCGTAATAATATTCCTTGGATTTCCGATATGGTGGAAGACAACATCAATCTACCGGGCGTCTCTCCCCATCGAGGAGATGGTGGATTGGGCTGATGGCAAGGTACGGCTTGCGGCATCGCCTTTGGCTTTGGGACTTGGTAGATGCTAATCATAATTTTGACAGGCATGCCGACCAGTCTTTCCATTGGATATTCACCTTGCGACACCTTCGATGCAATCTTTCGAAGCCCAGCACCTTCTCCGCACGACGCAGCATACTCTCGATGACCTCAACGAGTTCGCAGCTCACCACCTTCGGCTCAAGTTGACCAACGGCACCACGACGGCAGTTCATAACGGCGAAGACAACCTGGAATACCCTGCGAAAGAGACAGCGGATACGGCACTGACCGTCCGATTACTGCCCCAGGATGGCCTAGCAAGTCCTTGGTCGGAGCTTCATGCAGCTGCGACACAGCTCGATATCTTCTACCCGCCGAGCCAGGTCCCCGTACCTTCTTCCTCCAACTCCCCCCTCTCCACTTTCATTGCGGCGGAGCTTCAGCAATTATATGGCGAGGAAAAGGCTACTATAGCGCACATCTTGTCTGGAAATACCGCTGGGCTTGACTCGACCTCACCACAACTCGCCGAAGATATCGACCGAAGACTGCGCCGATCGATGAAATATGCCGAAACCTACCACCTCTCCTTTTCACTCTTTACCCCCGGGTCTGAACCGTCCTCGTGGGACATTGAGGCTGCGGTGAAAGAATATGTCTCCCCCCTCCTGCAGGCATTGTCTCCTATCAGCAATTTCACTGTCGACACGCAAGTACAGCTCTATGCCAATTTTGCACCCACCGCGCCGAAGCCCGAGTATGATGAATCCGAGGCGGCATGGACATTGAAGAAAGAAGGTTTAAGTGCCTTCGTCAATGCTGCCGAGTGGCCGCTGAACCCGAGCATCGGCAATGGCCCGACGATCAATTTCATTCTCTACGTCCCAGACCCTTCGCAGTCTCCACTCATTGTCAAGGAGAACCGTGCTTCTAGTTGGATAGTCCCCCAATGGGGCGGGGTTTTCCTTCTTAACCCGCCGCTTTCCAACACCGGCGAGCAGAGTGCCCCGTCTAATCCTTCCCACCTCTCCCTGGACTCTTTAGGTCCTGCATTCATGACCTTCTCTCATCAACTCCTGACCCTCCTCGGCACTCCAAGCACCCCTGCCTCTCTTCCACTCCGTCTTCAGACATCTATCCGCATCCGCGCGGCCAGCTTGTTGCTCTCCGCCTCATCAACAATGGGCTCGCTTGCCCGTCTTACTAAGTCTTTACCCTCCATCCCTATCCCGGCAACCGTGGCTACGTCGGTCTCCACCACTCTCTCTCATTTGAGTGCCTCTTGTGTCCACTTGCGAGAGGGTCGCTTCGGCGCTGCACTTGCCAGCGCCCGAGTCGCAGAGACAGAAGCTGAGCGCAGCTTCTTCGAAAAGAGTATGGTGGGCCAGGTCTATTTCCCCGATGAGCACAAGGTGGCTGTCTATCTACCCCTTCTGGGACCAATTGGTGTCCCTCTTGTTGTTGGGTTGCTCAAAGAGCTCAAGAGAATTGCGGCTCGACGTAAGGCGAACGGGGCAGCATCGTAGAGTAATACGAAATTTATGTATTCTAGGAGTTATATACACCCATTGAACTATTTTTCCTTCTGAGGATATACCTACCCAGGGCCTTGTGTCACTGTTCGTAGATAGATATTGACCATGCACATAAAGCGGTACACTATATTTGAATTAGATGGAGAATTAATCAGGTACCTCGAAACAAAGTGGGAAACAATACAATATGGATATCGTGCGTGGCACACAATCAATATGCCAGAACGACCAAATATCTGAACCAAGATGACTGAGCGCACGGCTCAATCCAACCCCGTAGGCTTCACATCCTTCAATTATCAACGCACAGGATCTCTGAACGGATTTTCCCGAGAATTATCATTAGTCGGATAAGGTGGCTTTCCCTTGCCATCATGAGGAGACCCAACAACCCGCATCAGGTCGCTAAACAGGGTATCTGGCCTAGCGGTATCACCAGGGTATGGACTTGGTCCCAACAAAGTGCGAGATTGCGAAAGCCACGATTCAGGCGGTGAATACACCGTGATGCTTTCTGTGCTCGGCTGACGCTGTCGTGGCGGAGTAAACGGAGCCGGATGCATAGGGTTTGGCATAGGGATAGGTGGCACATCCTTGTCTAGTCGAGCGGTTTGCCTTGGATAACCGGAGAACAGACTCCGCACTCTGCTGCCGGTGCGGTGGATCACAGTGCGAGTGGAACGTCCTCCTATTGAAGAGCGCTTGGCTCGTGGTGGGCATCGGAGGAAGTCTGTGCGGTACGAGGTATCGTCTTGGGGTATGGGGTTTGATATGCACAATCTTGCCCCGGAAGAAGAACGTTGGGACCAATTAGGCCCATTTTTGCCTTCTTGTATTTCACATTCGTCTTTCCGGGCACGGCGGAAACAGAAAGTTATTAAGAGGGCGGCAACAGCACCGAGGACCGCACCAGGGAAGAAGCCCGCTGCTAGAGCTCCAGCTGGGAAGGAGGGACAAGAGGTTGATAGTGCTGAGCATGTAGTGGAGTTTGTGGATTTTTCAGATGAGGGAGATGGCACGGGTGTGATAGTTTCTTGGGGGATTGTTGAGGTTGTACCCGTTGTCGATGATGGAGATGGCACGGGTGTGATAGTTGCTTGGGAGATTGTTGAGGTTGTAGCCGTTGTCGATGAGGAGTCTGTGTTGGTAGAGGAGCTAGAAACAGATGATGATGTTGTAGTGATAGAGGAGCTGGATAAAGCTTCTGTTGCAGTAGTGGAGGTTTTTTGGTTCAGGGAACAAGTGTTGTCCCCCTGGCAGGTGTAGCCAAACGGGCAGCAAGCATCGCCGCATTTGGGAAGGCTATCGCCCAGACGAGTTGTCTTGATGACACTCTCCGGGTAGATAGTAACATTCTGCAGCTGTATATCACATGTAATCGGCGAGATATAGTCACAATCTTTACCGGCGGGACAACAGATGGAGGAGCTGCCTTGATCTAGACTGATGCAGGTGGAGTCTGAGGGACAGCAGAAATCATTTGGAAGTTTCGTACCGCCGCAGCGAGAAAATGAGGAAGGACAAGCGTCTGAGCTTCTTGAGAGAAGATCGAAAGAGCTATATGCTAGTCCTGGTTGGATGCTTGCCATCAGGGTGAAGAGCAGTAGAACGGATGGCCGTGACCTCGTCATACTGGTCGTGAGTATGTAGGCCGAGAAGAATGAAAGTATTTGACGGTCAAATTCAGAGGAGTTTCCGAAAGATATAGACTGATAGCGTCCTTGACAGAATCTTCACGTATAACGCAAGCCAAGTTGTAAGTAGATAGACCAACAGAAGGAACCTTGACAGAGAAAGATTGACAATTGCTGACAGACAAAGGCATTGACTTCCGTCTGAAACAAAAATCAGTCAAAGAGCCAGGATATATCATTATTGAAAGGCATCTGAGCACTGTCATCCTGTAGACAAAGAGTACTTGCAAGCGCCGCAGTCCTAAAATAGCACCCAGGCTGTTTCAGAGTGAGCGGCATGATTAAAATGGCAAATTATGGGCGCTAAGTCAAATCTTTGTTACAGTACCACATCGGACCAGGGGATTGCAGGACGAGGATTGGACGAAGGCCAAGGGTGCAGAATAGTTCAAGGCGCTTAGAGAGATGAAGTAGATATGGACGATGTGATTGGCTGTTGGGCCAGGGGTCTTACATAACCACACTAATCCCGATCGGGCAGAACGTCGGGAGGGAAATTCTTCGACAGCGAAGCTCTGTATGATTAACCCGACCATTCATAGTGCCGCTCGTCATGTTCAACCGATTCGCCCGGCCGCAAAGCGCTTTGCGCGCAGCCTCCTCTTTCTCTCCAGTGAGACTTACTTTCTCCGCCGCTCAATCCGTCTTGACTGACCGCGTTTTATCCAGAAACCTACCTCCGCCTTCTCACGCTTCCAGACTCGGGCTATCCATCGCATTCCCCAATTGCAGCACGACGCCTACTATAAGGAGAATGGTGTTCCGGAGTTCCTTTCGCCTGAGGCGTTCGACTTCTCATGGACCCAATACCAGAGTCTTCTCGTTAACAAACTCAACCTGTTGACACAAGGTGAGCCCGACACTCCGACCCTGTGGAACGATGGATTGATCTAATTCGGCCCCAATCCGATAATTGAGCGATATTGCACACGGAGATACCAATCTAACAACCGAAATCAATAGATACCGTCGACGCAGATGCCAAACCAGGAGAATTGCTGGTCAAATACTCCAAGCGTCCGGAGATGGCCTCGGTGTTCAACTATGCCTCAATGGCCCACAACAACCACTTTTTCTTCAACTGCCTGGTGAGTAGCAATATAAATCCCTTTATATACATATTCAATCCTGACCAGCCTGCCCAATATAGTCCCCCACAGCCACCAGCGTCCCCGAAAAGTTCGCCAAGGACATCGTCGACACCTGCTCCTCCGTCGAGTCCCTGAAGTTGGATTTCCTGGCCACAGCAAGCTCAATGTTCGGCCCCGGATTCGTGTGGCTCGCCAAGAACCTCGAGCGCGAAGGCATGATGCACATCTTCTGCACCTACAGCGCCGGCTCGCCCTACCCGGCCGCCCACTCCCGGCGGCAGCCCGTCGACATGGCCACCCACACCCCGGAGACACAGCTGGGCAACCAGTTCGCCGGTTCGATGGGCGCCCATGCCCAGAACCAGAAGAGCCTCGCGCCCGGTGCCGTCGACGTGCAGCCTATTCTCTGTGTTAACACATGGGAGCACGCGTGGATGATGGACTACGGTATTGCCGGAAAGGATGAGTACCTCGAGCGCTGGTGGGATCGGATTAACTGGGATGTGGTCTTCGATAACTACAATGCTGTCGGCTCGATGAAGAACTCACGCAACTCTATCAACCGTCATCGGAGTATGAGCATGCTTTAAGTTGAAAATCATTTCTGTGTTCGGATAATCTGTATTATATACTATCATGTTTTATTTTTTTTTGGTCTCATTGCTCATTCTCACAGGCTTCTGATTGAGCATGTACAGCGATCCATCCAATAGAATCAAATTGGTGATGCTCTCTATTTCCCTTCCGCTGTCAAGAGTCGAAGAGATGCAAGTCTAACAAGTAGTCATATGTAGTGTGATGCCATTTATGCCCGAATACGAAAACTCCACTAATGTACAATCCAATCTACAATTGACACTTCACTGCCCTTTACCCTCAACCTCCCGCATCCGCTTCTCAAAAGCCTCAATCATAACCCCGGCCATCTGCCCCTCAACAGCACTCATAAGAGTAGCATGCATCTGCGAACGAAACTCAAACCGCACCTCCAAATTGACCTTAGTCAACGGCCCACCCTGCGTCCCAGCAGGTGAAATCGGCACCAGCTCCCACCTCGTAGTCAGGTACTCGAAAAGGCCCTCATTCGCACCGGGAAAGAACCCGCTTAGCCCGGACGAAGAAGAGCTCTTACTAGCCTGGGCACCCTGTCCCTCTTGACCGCACTTGGCCCCGCTCTTAGCCTCCACAGTCAGCTTCTCGACGTCGCAGATCACGCGCGACGTGAACGTCTCGCTGAGCGGGCCGTAGCCGACGGTCAGGAACGCTTGTGTTGGGGACCCCGTTTCGGGATCGCGCGCTGTCACGGTCGAGGCGGTGAGGAACGGAAGGAATTGGCTGTAGGATTCGACCGAGGAGATCACTTTGTATAGCAGGGTTGGGTTGTAGGGGAGGTTGCGGGTGGCGGTTAGGACGCGGTGTGGGGATTTGTTATTGTTGCTGTTGGGGAGGAAGGAGGATAGGTCAGGCAGGCCAAATGCTCGTGTGGTGGTTTTGGTGCCATTGCTGGGGAGTAGAGGTAGGCGCAGACTTGGCCGTTGTGTTGTGTTTATTGTCCTCGTGCTTGCCTTGAGTTGGTGGGGGGCTGCGCACACATTCTGGCGTTGGGAGGGTAGAGTTGCGCGACTCAGAAGTCGCGAGGTGCGGATGGGTTGCATTTAGGAGGTTATATAAGAAGATTTATACGGCTTGGTGCTTGGAGTGTAGTGTTCCTGGCAGACAAGAAAAAAGCTCCGGTTCCGCGGAGCGGGATCTGCAGCCGCCTCGGCAAGATCGGTGGATGCATACTCTCGGTGGATGCATACTCAGTACATACTCTCTGGATTTGGTTCGATTTTGTATTCTAGACCTTTCTTTTAATCAGAAACATATTGGTTTTACGAGATATGTATTGATGATATGGTCTTGTATAGTTCACATTGTCATTGATAGCTCTCATGATCTATCGACGATGACCCAGGAGGATAAGCGCCGAAATCATACGGAATTGCTGGACCACCAGAGTACCAAATGTCGTTATTGGTGGCCATTTCGACTGCTGATATGTGACTGTCGTACAGGTTCTGGAAATAAAGGATTAGTCCTAGTTGTGTTAAGCATGGCTGGGATCTTACCCAGTCGAGTTGAGCGGGTATATCAAGCATGTCTTCAATGACCCCCAGGGAGTTATATGACGTCTGGCCGGGGTTGGGTATTGCAGACTGCAATTCGCTAATATTGGATGTGTACGTTGAGTATTGTTGATCAAGGACTGATGCACTGGTGGATTGGGTTAAGATATAATCTGGGTAATATAATCAGCATGATATTGCGAGAAGAGAAAAGTAATACTTACTATCCATAGGTGCCATTGATTGCCCAGCAGTCGAACTGGAAGATTGGGAGTCACCTTTCTTCACTCGTTTGAGCATGATAGTCAAAGCATTCACTGCTCGCTGTGTGTCGACAGACCGGTGACGGGTTTCCATGAATATACGATGGGTACTTTCCAGAAGAAGCAAGAATTCTGCTCGCTCTCGAGGCTCGAGGCGTGAAGCATGACCACGATCTGCATCCTGGGACATCTCGAGGCAAAGAATCATTGCCGAGAGTATAAAGGAATTTTGGAGGGAGTTGAGGAAGTATCGCGCTGCGAACAACTGACCGCCGGGCATGAACTCGGACCAGATCTCTGTGTTGTATTGAAGCACTTGCCGAGCTGCGGCCAGGCAGACTGATCGCGAGTAAGCAAATTTGGTATTGGTCTCAGCGATATAGCGGCGATGTAGGACAAGACGTGCTATTTGATACAAGAGCTCCAAGGCGAAGCGCCGCGTGGTCAATTCTGCTGGGTCTGCGATACACTGCGTCATTGGTCGAACTTTCAAGAACGAGGGTATCATATCATGCGCAGTCTCCAAACGACGGTCAATTTCCAAAATCTCATCGTAGGATGAGCGCTCTTGGGAGAATGCCAGGTCTGTTATTTGACCAAAGACACTCATAACGTGAGACTTGGCCCTCATGTACGAGCAATCTGTTCCTTCATTATCCGGCCTCCCGGGTGGCAATTGAACGGAACTCTCATCGAAGTCCGTGTCCCACAAGTTAGAAGGTAACTCTGTGTCGTATTGCCAAGGCTGGATTGTTCGAGGGACACCGACTTGGAATGAGACTATGGTGTCAAGCTGAACGAGCAGGGCCCAGAGACGCCGGCGCATTTCCCCATCCATGGCAGATAACATTGGGTAATGACGTGGATCACGATGATAGCCCATGCGCATAGCCAGGCGAATAGTAATCCCAAGCAAATAGGACATTCCAATCTGCGCATCCTGGGTACGGTAGAACTCGGTGAGTGAGTAGAGTAATAGTGCTTCTCCTTTGTATCGCCCTGGGGTGATGTAGTTTGCTTGGATAAGACACTGCGATGACCTTTTCCGGAATATGGCCCATGAATTGATAGAGTCTTCCATGGTAGAAGGCGACTGCTCTGAGCCTCGATGATGTAGAGAGACGGACAAAGCCATGATCGAGTATAAGAGGGAAATCCAAGTAAATGATTTATCTGCTGGGTGTAGCCAGAACTCCTCGTACTCTTTTTGGTACGTGGGAACGTGAATTACCACTGCTGGCTTATCAGTACTCGGTACTTGTTGTTTTCCTTGAGAATCTCATACCTCGTGCCGGTTCAGATGTCTTGAGGAATCGAGAGACCAGGCGATCGGCTATTGACCGTGGAGGGATGTCCATAAGCATCTCCTCTTTGCTCACCGGACGACTATTACCAAGCAGTAGAACTGGTGACGAGGCATCGTACGGGTCAATATCGACGCCTTCATCGTTGGAATTTTCTCCGATGCATTCTTTCACGTCATTAATCTTCAAATTTGAAGAACCCGTCAACACAACCATTTCAGAGAACAGCAATAATTAGATCAATACGGACCTCTTCCAGGATAGCGCGCCAATTTGCACTGTCAATATAACTAGTTCCCTCATTTTTGACGACCAGCGTGCCCGTGTCAACCGGAGTCAACGCAGCGTCAAGTGAGCGCATCGCGCCAGCATCCCGATCCCCCGATTGCACTGAATTGAAATCAACATTGAGATTAGACCTCTGCTTCTGTGCTAGAGACATCACTAGATTCTCGAGATGGTGCAGGCGGTCCTGGACCAGAGTCGGGCTCGAGCGCCCATGCTGGGCTTTGGCTCGTGGTCCGCGCCCGACATAGGTGCATGATGTGGCCTCGCCTCGCTTCTTGCAATTATTACAAGGGTGGTTGCGGCAGCATTTCAATCTGTAGTGGATCAATATCTGATATGCTAGGTATGATGTATGCACGTCATGCGTTGAACTTGAGCTTACTTTCGATACCTGCACGCCGTGCACGAAAATTGCACCCGTGTTCTCTTTTTGGGGGCGGATGTCTCTGCATCAGGGTCCGAAGGTTCGTTCATTATTGTTTGTGGTTATTGCGATCAGCAAATGAGGAAATACGAATATCGCAGGTAAAAAAAGGGAAAAGAAGTGGATTCGCTAGCCCGTGAGGGGGATCTACACGCCCCAAAGCTTTTTGTCCTTCGATTTTATCAGGAATAGCCCAAACTGTAACCACCACAGTTCTACACCTGGTTTATTTGTGCAGTTCATATTTAGTGGATCTCAGCCTTCATGGCCACTACTCCCCCGGGCCCAATAATCTGCACCTCTGTTCCCTCGCCGTCCTCAAGCACAATCCGATACTCATCCCCGGCATATAATGGACTCGTTGCCCGGTAAGAGATGCGCTCAGGAACAACCAAGGTAGAATCGGTGACATTCTGGCGCGTGTCACGCCAGAGATCAAGAATGCAGATCAGATTCAATGGACCATGTACTACAATATCCTTGTGTCCTTCTACATCCCGCGCCCAGGGCAGTGAGTAGTGGATCTTATGAGGGTTGAAAGTCAGAGCAGAGAAGCGGAAAAGGGACACCGGCGTTTGCACCAGTGTTCGCGTATGGGCGTTGCCCTCGGTGGAAATGGCGAACGAGGTAGGATTTGGGGTCGCAATATGGGACGTTGGGGACGGAAGAGCGCTGGATGACGTTGACGCAGATGGAACAGGTAGAGCTTTGCGGAACACCCAATTGCTATGTGAATGATATTGTCAGTACTTTGAACAGCGGGATTCTTGAAAAGGGAAGCCGGACCGTCGGTCAATAATTGACACGCCGTGCTCGTTGGCGAATTCTTTCTCGACTCCAACAACAATCATGTCCTCGCCGGTCTTTTTCACAACCTTGGCCTCCGCACTAAGTACCCGTGTTGTCTCCTGCACCTGCTGTCCTACCCGTAACAGATTGGGTTTCCCATCCACACGGGGCCACAGCACCTCGCCGCCGGCCCACATGCGCCGCGTGAAAGGCACGTCGGGATTATACGACACATCGGTTCCATCCGCCCCAAGTTCACTTTCCAGGAACGCGGGTGTGAAATACGCGAGGTGATAGCCCGGCGGCACGGGTACTGCAGATTGCGGAGCGGGAGCGCTATTCGATAGGGAGGGGGCACCGGGGAAGAGAGTCGGGCGATTGAGGGTGAGGGTGAGAAGCTGGAGCTGGTTTGCATCTATCGTTTGCGTGCGGGTTTGTGGCCCTAGAGATTGGAAGCGCGACAAGAAGGCCGAGGCTACCGAGGAAGCATCTGAGCGGAGACGCTGAGGGATGGTGAAACTGCGAATTGCGCCCGGTCGGGTTCGCGCCAGTACGCGGGGGCGAAGGTGTGTGAGTAAGGACAAATTTGAAGACATGATGGGTTGAGGAGAGAGATAAAAACAAAAGCAGAGAAGGAAATAAACAGCGGGGATCTCCAAATGCATGCGGGGAAGCCGATTTGCTCCCGAGTCGGCTCTATACTTGACCCCGTAGAATGGTATTGGACAAGGCCTTTGCATGACATTTTGGTAGTATTTTCAGTAGTTTTCATTAGTATATTTTCTGTGACTATCTCCTCCTTCTTAGGTACACGGAAAAAGGTGCAAAGGGCGCAATTTAATAAACGGCTTTCCTATGTATAAACTTGGATTGCTAGGACTTTATAATTCTCACCACGCCAAACAGATGGATTACTGGATTCCCCCATCCTAGTGAGATTTAATTGAAGTCAAATAACCTATATAGCTCTCATATACTATCTTAAGCTTGTATAAGACTATCTATTGTACCGTGAGAGGCACTATTACGATGAATAATCCACCCCGGCGGCCCCGGGGGAGACGAGACGCCCACGGACGGATGAATTCGTGCGTTGTACTTGTATGAGGTTTTTGATTTTGAAGCTTTGATTATAAATCTTCTATAGCATTGTAAGCTTGAAATGGAATATAAATAACCCAATTGTCAGGGCTGATTTTAGACATTCATATTTCCTTCATCCTTCAATAACCATCTATCATGGCTAGCATCAAGATTGTCTGGGGCGGAGCCTCAATCATGGATCAAGCCGCCTATCCAACTCTTGAGTCCATCAGCGAGGTCCTCGATATTCTGCATGACAAAGGCATCAAAAGCATCGATACTGCCAAGATCTACAGTAACTCCGAGGAGCTATTGGGCAAACTTCACGCCGATTCCCGCTTTGCCATTGATTCGAAATTCCCTGGCGGGTTTAGACCTGAGCCCTCCACCCCAGAGTCTCTTGTTACAAGCTTGAACGAGAGTTTGGCCCTTCTCCAAACTAATCAGGTGAGCTTCTTTCGTAATCTGAGGCTGCAAAGACCCAATCCCTAATCCTATTTCTAGCTCGACATCTACTACATGCATGCTCCCGAACGCAGAAGCTCATTGGAAGACCTGCTGGCCAGTATCGACTCTGCGCACAAGGCTGGAAAGTTCAAGCGCTTTGGGCTGTCCAACTATCTGGCTGAGGAGGTTGAAGAGGTGGTCCGCATCTGCTGTGAAAAGAATTATGTCGTGCCAAGTGTCTACCAAGGCAGCTATTCCGCTGTTGCACGACGAGCAGAGAAAGAGATCTTTCCCACACTGCGGAAACACAACATCTCATTCTATGCTTATTCGCCCATCGCAGGAGGATTCCTGACTAAGGATGTCGCGACGTTGGTCTCCGGTGGGCAGGGTCGGTGGGATCCAAAGACACAGATTGGTGGGATCTACAATGCGCTTTTCAACAAGCCGAGCATGCTGGAGGGCTTGGAAAAGTGGGAGAAGATATCCAAGGAATTTGGTATCTCCAAGGCCGAATTGGCATATCGGTGGGTGGTGCATAACTCCGACCTCAAAGCAGAACTTGGAGATGCTGTGGTTGTTGGGTCACGTAATGTCGAGCAGCTCAATCAGACACTTGCTGCAATTAGCAAGGGTCCGCTCGATGCGGAAATAGTAGCACAGATTGAGCAGGTGTGGAAGATTGTCGAGGCTGATTCGCCTTTGGACAATTTCAACTAGTTTGACAAGTCGAACGTTAAGAGAACTGCGGGGTAGTTCCCTTGAAAGAAGAATATATCCAGAATCTTTCATAGCAATATCAGAGCATGTCCAAGGCTATACAGCTTCTTAAAATATATATCTACGAAGACCCCCAAAGTAGCATGATAAGGCCCCGTAAGCGGTCTACTATAATTGTTGTGAAAACATTAAGAAAAGACGCTGAAAGAGTTATTGCGAGGGTGGGGTTATGGTGGGCCAGAAGTGTGAATAGCTTCAAATGATCCGGAACGGGATAAAAAAAAAAGATGGGCCCAAAGGTTCTTCAGCAGCAGCTAGCCTGCTCGAGGAACAGGGCGCATCCCATCTGAGCCATGGGAGTTGGGGGCTATAATGTCTGGGTTGACCTTTCCCTTTATACTCACTTTTTTATCGTTCCTTCCTTAGGCATAAACCCAACGCTCTTGCCTGAGGGCAGTCCCTTCCTGTCAGTTTCTAATGGTACCTTCCGATAGTTGCCGTGCCTTCTAAGACTCGGGATTTCCTACCGAGTTCCACGTCATGCATAGCCTACTAAGCTGACCCGAGGCCAGGAAAAGAATATCAGGCAAGATAATTGTCCATGATTCCAACAGTCATACATATCGTTTTGCCGCCTTCGTATACATCGAAAAAGACATATAGAAACACATGTAACGCCTCCGAGGTCATCTTGGGCTAAATAGATCAGATTATCTTAGTCTTACATCGTCAAGGGCAGAGAACACTGACTATTCTTGTATGTCCTACGTGTAAACTCAGCCCAGTGATACCAGGTCAGCCCCAATGGGCGTATATAGATTGTTGAATTGAAGGCTGTCGAGGGTATCTTAAGGTGAATGAGGCTACGAATCAGGCCATAGGACCGAAAAATCTTAGAGATATAACGGGACAAGGCAAAGGTGACACACAAGACGAGACAAGTCCAAGAAAACTAGACGGATCAAAGGCGAACCTGACCACCAGTCAACCGTTCCCAATCCCTCTGTCCGAAGGGGACATATGTATCACCCTGGAGCCAGTACAGTCGGTCCTTCTTCGATACAAGAGCTGGATCCACGCCTTCGGTACGGAGAACATGCTTCTGTTGCTTGTTATTACCGGTTGACTGCGTCAGGGGCGTGACCCGCAAGAACAGCGGAGCCGCAAACCGGGGCAGGTTCTTGAGAATGTGCGCAGCTAGAGTATCAAGCACCTCACGCGAGGGTTCCAGGGCGGTATCAGAGAGGTTACCGCTTGCTACCTGCTGGTTGAACAGGATGGCTGCACATCCGGCACGGCCATCATGATTGGGAAGAGTCACGCCGTAAACGTTGGCTTCGTGTACATCAGGATGCGCGCCCAGAACCTCGGAAACCTCGCTGGTGGATACATTCTCGCTCTTCCACCGGAACGTATCACCCAGTCGATCTGAGAAGAACCAGCGACCCTCTTTGTCCCATCGAACCATGTCGCCGGTCCGGAAATAGGCATCACCCTTCTTAAGTACATCGCGGATAATCTTGCCTTCTGTCGCCTTCTTGTTTCCGAAGTAGCCCTGGAAATTGGCAGTGGGATCCGCTGCATTGAGGATGAACAGCAACTCACCGGGATCACCCCGGGGGACATTCTTGCAGAGACCAGTCTTGGGGTCACGCCACGGTTCCTCGGTTTCGTGGTCAACTTCCACTATGGCAGAGCCACGACCAAGGACAATATCTCCCAAAGCACCGTTTCGGCCGATGGCACCCGCGGAGAAGTCGTTCGTCGAAAGGTTCCATGAGCCCGTAGTGCCTTCGGTAGCGGCGTAGAACTCGGCGATTGTGGGGATGTTAAAACGCTCTTTGAAGCGGTTCCAGATATCGGGACGCAGTCCATTTCCAAATGCCAAGCGGATATTGTGCTTCTTGTCAAGGTCTTCGCCGGTGACCGGGTCAATTGCAGGTGCCACTCCTAGTAGATAACGGAGTGTTTCGCCCACATACTGGATAATTGTCGCATCGTTCTCGCGAGCCTCCTTGATGAAGTTGCGCGCAGAGAACCTCCGGCCAACGATCATGGCGGATCCGCTCATCAAGCAGGTTATGAACCCAAGTATCGAAGCGGAACTATGGTAAAGAGGCATGCACTACAGGAGGTTAGCTTGGGCAGTAACATTTATAAGTTTGGACCTTACCGTGAAGAATCTGTCAGAGGAAGTAATGCTCAACCAATCTTTGACGAACAAACTACCAGACCAGCACTTTTTCCAACTGACAATAGCGGGCTTTGGAAGCCCGGTGGTGCCACTTGTGTAAATCAAGATGGCCATATCGCGAGGAATCAAGCCACTACGGGCCTTGTCATCCTCTCGCGTAGGCTCCATTCCCAAAATCTGCGCTTCCACCTCCGGGGTATGAAATACGATCTCAACCGGTCCCTTGCCATCACGGAAGGTCGGGGATGTCAATATCTGCTCCTGCTCCGCCGGGAAGCAGTGACGAACTTCTTCGTCAACCACCAAAAGCCTTGCGGTGGACGTTCGAATGGAGTGGGTGAGCGGCTTGCCAGACAAGTTATAGTTGATAAATGCCGGGACTGCTCCAATACTCCAAAGTCCCAACAGCATAAATATGAAGGTGGAAGAGTTCATGAAGTCGATTGCAACAATCTCCTTGCGCTTAATGCCGTGGACTTTCTTGAACCATGCCCCGTAGCGAAGAACCATGATATAGCCTTCGTGGAACGTCGTTGTTCGTCCATTGTACACAATGAAATCGTTTCCTGCAGTTTTAGGATCGAGTGCGTAGGCTTCAAGTGTGTAGAAGAGGTTCAAGCGGTCGCCACGTTCGGCAATGCGGGACTTTGCGGACATCTTCAGCAACCCCCTGAGGAGGTTCAAATCGTAAGAAACCGACCATCTTGCGTTGAGATATGCGAGTGTCGTTGCTGCGGCAGGGAGTGCAAGACTCAAGGGAATATCTGCACAAAGAGTCCGCTTGTTAGCCATGCATTCAGTCCCGCCATGGGGTATGACCTACCGGACAAAGATGGCAGCGGCATTATGACCAAGATATTCAAGGATCAAGCTCAAGTGGATATGATCTAGGAGTGAGATCGATAGTATGCTCAAGTAATGTACTCGAGGGATATGATATTTAGGTATCACGGCTTTGAATGTAGCTCTGGAAGGAAGAGCAGATGAGGTGTTATAGGGACTCTTTGACTGATACCTCGGCTTCGCTGCCTTTTATTGGATCACAGATCAAAAGCAATATTGGTTGACTTCATCTAATGGATCCGGTAAGGTTGAGATATGTCCGGAGTAGGAGAGATCGAAACGGGCCTCGGCACGGACCTCGGGATGTGCCGATCCCCTGACGACATGCAACATTGTGCAACGTATTCGCCACATACACGTTGTACGGCAGTTGTTTCTTTCAATAATGATTTAATTTTTCATTCTGTAGATCGTTCTGACATTGTTATGATTCTTCTTTATACAAACGGGCTCGGCTAGTAGTTGCCGGAGAGTACAAAAGGCTAGTTTGCATGTCCAGTTGACCAGTGGCATCGGGATGGCTATTTTTACTTTTGCAAGGGCTTCTTCACTGGTACATCCTCATATCCATCTTCCATGAACTTACCCAAGGCATCCAAGCCCCGCTCCAGGACCTCGGTTTCATTGACGTACCCAATGCGAACATAACCCTTGAAGTCTTCTCCGACTCCAAAGCAAAGGCTTCCCGGCACAAGCATCACACCGGTCCGTTCCTGAAGCATCTCACAGAAAGCGACATCGTCTACGGGTTTTCCCATCTTGTTAAAGCGCACAAATGCAGTGGTGCCGGCTTGCGGCTTAATCCACTCACATGCCCAGCGATGAGCATCGATGAACTTCTCTAGAATAGAGAGATTAGTCCGGGCTAGATCGATATTTCGTTTCAAAAGATTGTGAATGCAATGCGGTGCTAATGCAAAACCGGCAATTGCCTCGTCAATTTGCCCAACCGAGATGGTTGTATAATCGCGCGTGTTAGCAACAGATTCAATGATCGAACTATCCCGCGACGCAACCCAGCCTACCCGCAAACCCGCCAGGCTATAGGCTTTGGAAACGGATCCTGTCACCACCGTGCGTTCGTATCCCATAGAAAGAAGTGTGGGTGGGAACCTCGGATCCGCGGGACTGATGTTGTGGAAAAGTGGGCGATAGACCTCATCGGAGTGGATGATGATGGATTTCTCGCGGGCAATATCGACCAATTGTTGGAGAGTCTGGCGCGGGATGATGGCTCCAGTTGGGTTTTGCGGGTTGCTATGAGAATGATGGTCAGGAAAAAAAAGCACGCCTTGCATGATTGTAATAAGAGTCAGGAAATCCATACTTTATGATGATTAACTTCGTGTTGGGTCGGATAAGGCCTTTCAGCTCTTCAATGTCCAGCTGCCATCCATCGGCCTCTTTGGACTTCCACAGGCTGACTTCGGCCCCCACTGACGCAGGGACGGAGAACAGTTGTTGATATGTTGGATAGTGGCAAATTACATGGTCTCCTGGGCCGACCAACGTATACAACAGCAAGAAGTTCGCTTGGATTGCGCCAGCGGTGATCAAGATATTTTCCTTCGGCAACTGCGTCGGTGCCCTTACCGAGTACAGATTCGCCAGTGTATTTCGTAGTTTATCAGAGCCACGGATCGCCCCATATGTGAGTTTGGTGGATTGAAGCTGGGCTAAAGGGTTGGACTCCTTGTCATCGGAGAGCGCGCGGAGATCGTCGACGGAGATGGATGCACAGCAGGTCTCGGCGGTATTATATTTCGCAGTGGTCTCATACTTGTCCATCCACTGCAGGACGGTTAACAAAACACATCTGTAACGACAGAGGGAGCAGACAAGTACCACCCAGCCATGGGGTAATGCGGGGAGGTACCTGTTCAACCGCGAAGGCCTCAATCTTCACCATGGTTTATAATAGTGGGAATTACCGAGCGAAGTAGCTATAATCAACTCTCTTTGC